GCAGCCTGGTCAGCTTGCCCCGAGCATGGCTTGCTGATGGTCCAGGCATTTTGGTACAGCCACAGCGGGACTCTTGCTGGGCCAGATGGCGACAGCCAACAAAGGTGAGTGCGGTCACTTGGGGGTGCGGAAAGGGTCATCAACCAGCATCCCTTTGAGCCAGACACCCCCCCCCATTTTTCCCTTTGGGGTGAGGGCAGGAAGGTTGTCTGATGTGTTTCAGATTCACAAAGGGGCTCATTTCCCAGCATAGCAGAGTCGGAAGGGACCCTGGAGGTCTTCTAGTCCAACCCCATGCTCAGGCAGGAGACCCTAGACCTTTTCAGACAAATGCTTGTCCAATCTCTTCTTTAAAATCTCCAGTGATGGAGCATCCACAGCGTCTGGTGGCCAGCTGTTCCACTGGTTAATTGTTCTCGCTGTCAAGGAAATTTCTCCTTATTTCTAGGTTGGTTTTCTCAATTAGTTTGCTGCTTCTGCTGCCTTCAGGTGCTTTGGAGAGTAAGTTGACCCCCTCTTCTTCTTTGTGGCAGCCCCCCCCCCCAAATACTGGAAGGCTGCTGTCATGTCCCCCCAAGTCCTCCTTTTCTCCAGACTGGCCAAACCTTTTAGGGCTTGTGGACTTCAACTCCCAGAATTCCTTAGCTAGGCAAGCTGGCTGAGGAATTCTGGGAGTTAAAGTCCACATGTCATCAAAGGGCCAAGTTGGAAGACCCCGGATATAGAATTTGAGAGGAGTGAACTTCAACTCCCAGAATTCCTCAGCCAGCATGCCTGGCTGGGGAATTCTGGGAGTTGAAGTCCACAAGTCATCAAAGGGCCAAGTTTGAAGACCCCTGATAGAGACTTTAAGAGGAGTGGACTTCAACTCCCAGAATTCCTCAGCCAGCGTGCCTGGCTGGGGAATTCTGGGAGTTGAAGTCCACAAGTCATCAAAGGGCCAAGTTTGAAGACTCCTGCTCTGATCATCTCTGTTGCTCTTCTCTTTTCAATTCAGCCTTAAAAGCCTTAGTTGCACCCTTCCAAGCTGGGTTTCAGCCCGTCTTTTAGAGCATGGGTCTTGTGGTCCAAGAGGAGCGCAGCTTTCTGGACTGAGATACCTGTTGCCATGGTGAGGGGGCGGGAGCATCCTTTAGGTCCTTCGGTGTCAAAGAGGAGAGGGTGAAGCTGCACCCAGAGATAATTCCTATAAAGGAGAATATTTGTAGCTGGGGGTTGAAATGTGGGGTCCTTGGTGCTCTCTGAGCTGGGGAGGTTTCCTTGCAGACGTTTCATGACCCAACTAGGGAATATCATCAGTGCTAGAAGGGAGTGGGGTTTGCAGAGGAGGAGGAGGAGAAGAAGAGGAGGAGGAGGAGAAGGAAGAAGAAGAGGAAGAAGAAGAGGAGGAGGAGGAGAAGAAAAGGAGGAAGAGAAGAAGAGGAGGAGGAGAAGAAGAAGAGGAGAAGGAAGAAGAAGGAGGAAGAGGAGGAGGAAGAAGAAGAAGAAGAAGAGAAGATGAGGAGGAGGAGAAGAAGAGGAGAAGGAAGAAGAAGAGGAGAGGAGGAGGAGAAGGAAGAAGAGGAAGAAGAAGAAGAAGAGGAGGAGGAGGAGAAGAGGAGGAAGAAGAAGAGAGGAGGAGGAGAAGGAAGAAGAGAAAGAAGAAGAAGAAGGAGGAGAAGGAAGAAGAAGAGGAAGAGGAGGAGGAGAAGAGGAGGAGGAAGAGAAGAAGAGGAGGAGGAGAAGAGGAAGAGGAAGAAGAAGAGGAGGAGAAGAAGAAGAGGAGGAGGAGGAGGAAGAAGAAGAGGAGGAGGAGGAGGAGGAGAACTGTGCGGTCCTTGGTGCTCTCTGAGCTGGATGGTTTCCTTGCAGACGTTTCATGACCCAACTAGGTTACATCATCAGTGCTCTTCAACTAATGAAACACCTGCAAGAACCCCCCCCCAGCTCTGGGACCCCCAAGGACCCCCCCCATTATCGTTCCTCTTTGGAGATCTGGCAAACGCCAGCAGGGTCTCGTCTTCCAAAGCAGGCTCCCCACCCCCAGCCTTTCCCTGGGGTGGCTGGGAGGCATGGAGGTTGTAGTCCCTCCAAAGAAGGGCACCGCCAGAACGTCCCTCGCATCTGAAAACTCACCTCCTGCCGTTTGGCGAATGCCTGAGCGGTGGGAATTGTCTCCGCGGCAACAGACAAGGCTTAATCGATACGGGAAATTTATCGGTCAATTAATTCCTCCCTCCTGCTCCGTGGATTCTAGCCAGGGCAGGGGCTGAAAAACAGCCGGAGGAGCCAAGAAAACGGACCTGCTAAATTGCCGACCCAAAAGAAAAAGCTTTTAGATCGAGTTTTGGAAGGCGGTCCTTTCTGGAGGGTTAGGAAAAGGCTGAGAGGAGTTACGGAGTGGGAAGGGACCTTGGAGATCATCAAGTCCAACCCCTGTCGCCGATGGCACATGATGACTCCATGAAGTTGCTGATTCTGCCCGGATTGCAGGTGGACTTCAACTCCCATCAGTCCTGGCTGGGGCTGGCTGGCTGGCAGGGAATTCTGGGAGTTGAAGTCCACGAGTCTTAAAGGGGTCAAGGTTAGACCAGGTTCACAGGGAATTCTGGGAGTTGAAGTCCACGAGTCTTAAAGGGGCCAAGGTTAGACCAGGCTAACAGGGAATTCTGGGAGTTGAAGTCCACCAGTCTTAAAAGGGCCAAGGTTAGACCAGGCTAACAGGGAATTCTGGGAGTTGAAGTCCACCAGTCTTAAAAGTGGCCAGGGTTGGACACTCCTGCGTTAGACCAGGCTGGCTGGGGAATTCTGGGAGTTGAAGTCTGCTTGCAGCCCACTTTCTGCCCTTCCCAGCCCACCCTGCTCACCGCACCCATTGGCAAAAACACAGCTCGTTCCAAATTTAAACACGCGTGGGCTAGATGCATGTCAATCACCGGACAATTTAAAGAAAATAATAACATAAAAAGACTCAAAGGGCAGACTCCACAGATTGCTGGGTCTTTTTCTGCTGTCAGTTTTCTGTCTTTCAAATCAGGCTGAAAAAGCTCCACTCCTCTGCCTCTTCCCCGGCCCTCAAGCAGTGGGGATGGATGGGAACGGATCAAGGAGAGAAGCCACCTAGAACTAAGGAGAAACTTCCTCAGTGAGGACAATTAACCAGTGGAACTCCTTGCCTCCAGAAGTTGTGGGTGCTCCATCACTGGACGTTTTTAAGAAGAGCTTAGACAGCCCCTCTGTCTGAAATGCTATACGGCAGTGTTTCTCAACCTTGACAATTTTAAGGCATGTGGACTTCAACTTCCAGAATTCCACAGCCAGCAATGCTGGCTGTGGAATTCTGGGAGTTGAAGTCCACATGCCTTAAAATTGTCAAGGTTGAGAAACACTGCATATACGGTCTCCTGCCTGAGCAGGGGGTTGGACTAGAAGACCTCCAAGGTCCCTCCCAGCTCTGTTATTCTGCTAGTTTGTCTAGCCTGGAATGAGTTAAAATTCGGGTTGGGGGTGACCTGACAGCAGCCTTCCAGTATCCCAGGGGCTGCCCCAAAGAAGAGGGAGTCAAGCTATTCTCCAAAGCACCAGAGGGAAGGACCAGAAGCAACGGATGGAAACTCATCAAGGAGAGAAGCAACCTAGAACTAAGGAGAAACTTCCTGACAGTAAGAACAATTAACCAGTGGAACTCCTTGCCTCTGGAAACTGTGAATGCTCCAATACTGGAAGTTTTCAATAAGAGATTGGAGAGCCATTTGTCTGAAATGGTATGGGGTTTCCTGCTTGAGCAGGGGGCTGGACTAGATGACCTCCAAGGTCCCTTCTGTTATCCAGTCTGCCTTGTTCTAGTCTTTGATAGGTTGGGCAGAAACCGCTTTGAAAAGGGAGAGGGTCTTCCCACAACCTAGATTGGGAGACGGGGGGGGGGGGGACTCTGTAGCCAGCCTGCAAAGCAGTTGTGTGATTTTAGATTAAGATTGGGGTTCCTCGGCCATTTTGGTTTTTCACCTTTTTATTCACGTTTTTGAAGCTTGCCCTGTTGCCTTAAGTCAGCGGTTCTCAACCTGTGGGTCGGGACCTCATTTGGGGTCGAACGACCATTTCACGGGGGTTGCCAAACAATGCAGTCCGCCATTTTTCCCCCCCTTTTCCTTAGCTGTGCTCCTCCCTTTTATTCTATTGGCTTTTGAAAGCCAATAGAAGAGACTCTCTTGAATAGAGTCTAATTCTATTGGCTTTCCAAAGCCCATAGGAATTGTCCAGGCTGTCTCTGCCCTGCTGAGCCCGCCAAAAGTCCCATTCTGCAAACGGTGCTGCACCAGTTGAGTAGTCCTCGACTTACGACCGGTTGAGTAGTCCTCGACTTACGACCGGTTGAGTTCGTGGCATTAAAAAGGTTGAGAACCACTGCCTTAAGTCTTATTGCGCCGGTCGTATAAGTCGGTTGAATAAATAAAACGCACCTGGTGGTCAACTTAATGACAGTGCATTTAGTGACCTCTTGACGTGAACAACGGCACAGAAAAAATGTCACTCTCGTGGCCCTTTTTCGCCCTTAACGACCGCCGCAGCAGCCCCACGTGGCCACGTGGTCTCCATTCAAGGCGCTCGGCAGCTTGACTCGCATTTATGACGGTCACAACCTCCCAGAGGGGCATGCCACCCCCTTTTGCGTTCTCCTGACAAGCAAAGATGGTGGTGGTGGGGAAGCCGGATTCGCTTAACGACCGTCTGGCTAACTTAGCAACTGTACTGCTTCGCTTAATGACAGCAGCAGGAAAAGTCGTAAAAAGGGGCAGCGGAGGACAGTTGAATCGGTCTCCCTGCCTGTGGGGAGAGGGTCAGACTAGATGCCCTCATGATCCTTTCCACCTCTGCCCCTTGGTGGTTCTTCGACCAGGGCCCTCCACCTTCCACGGGGGGGGGACCTTGGATGCCTAATTCAGTGGGGGGGGCTTGTTGGAGGGGGCAGCCTGGCTCACCCAGCTTTCCTCTGCCCCCCCCCCCGCTCCTGCTGCTTCCCCAGGCTCCAACCCCAAAGTGGGGGGTGTCCGTTTCTCCCCGACTCAGACGGTGACGGTGGAGGGAAGCTCCAGCCACGTCCACTTTGATGAGAAGCTTCACGACTCCGTGGTGATGGTCAGCCAGGAGAAGGACGGGGACTTCCTGGTGAAGGTGACCCTGGGGGGGGGAGGGACCTGGGGAGGGGCTGGATCCTTTTCTCTCTGGTTCGGCCGTCCTTCCTCCCTCCCTCCCTCCTTTTCTCTCTCTCCCTTCCTTCCTTTCTCTTCCCTCCCTCCCTCCTTTTCTCTTTTCCTCCTCCCTCCCTCCCTCCTTTCCTCCCCTTCTCTTTCCTTCCTTCCTTCCTCCCTCCCCTCCTCCCTCCCTTTTCTCTCTTTTTTCCTCCCCTCCCCTTCTCTTTCCTTCCTTCCTCCGTCCCTCCCTTTCTCTTTTTTCCTTCCTCCTTCCTCCCTCCCTCCTTTCCTCTCCTTCTCTTTCCTTCCTTCCTCCCTCCCTCCTTCCATCCTCCCTCCCCTTTCTCTTCCTTCCTCTTTCCCTCCATTTCTTTCATTCTTTCTTCCTCCTTCCCTCTTTCTCTTTTTTCTCCCTCCTTCCTTCCCTCCCTCCCTCTTCTCTCTCTCTTCCTTCCTCCTTCCCTCCTTTCTTCCTCCCTCCGTCCCTTTCTCTCCCTCCCTCCCTCCCCCTGTAATTTTCCACCATCTCCCTGGTCTGCAGCTCATCCCTTTCCCTTTTTCCCACCCACCCCCTCCCTCCAAGTCTAATTGCTTCTAATTGCCCTATTTGGGATGCAAAAAACAATTATCCCGACTTTCTGATTGCCACAGCTGCCTCGGCTCTTTGCTGTTTTGGGCCTAAAAAAAAATCCAGGGGAGGGGGTGGAACAGGCTGGGGGAGGGGCAGCCGATTTCCCCCCCCCCCTTCGCCTCTGAAGCTTCATTTCGTCCTGTTCGATATTAGGTGGGGGGGAAGCTGTGGTTTTCCACATCGGATATTCAAAGGCGATAGAATATTTATGAGGCTCGATCTGGCTCCGCTTTGCAACCTGGTGCAGAATTGATGGATCCCCGGGGAGGGGCTTATTTATTTATTTTATTTATTTGTGAGACTTATATACCGCTTTTAAGTGCAAGCACTCTCTAAGCGGTGTACACCAGTAAGCAATGTGTATATATATATATATATATATATATATATATAATATATATATATATATATATATGTAAGGTCTTTGGTTGTTCGGGTTTTCTCCCGCGTGACCGCGTGACCACACAGGATGTCACCACCACACATCCACGCAAAAAGCAAACCCAAAGCCACACCGATGATGAGGCACGACCACAAACCAGAAGCCAGACCAGAGCTGCATCATTAGCCACTTTAAAGCCCTCCAATCCATACATGAAGCAAACTGACACCCTCCATGAAAATGAGGCACGACCACAAACGCGAAGCCAAAAAATAGCAAGGCAGCCCAAAATCTTAAACCCCTCTGCAACTCAGACTAACCTGAGCACAACCAAACAGAACACTCCCCCAGCCAATCAGAGCACAGCCAACCCCCCAGCCAATCAGAGCACAGCCAAGCCCCTAACCAATCAGAACACACCTCCACCCAATCAGAACACAGCCAAGCTCCCACCCAATCAGTTCATACCCCCACTGGCAGTTAAAAGGAAGAAACAGCTAAGACCACACATTGCTGCTCGAAGCACGAAGCTGAAAACACCAGCCTGAAGATGACGAATGGGACTTCGTCGAAACGTCGCCAAGACACTTCCAATTTTACGCGGGAGAAAACCCGAACAACCAAAGACCTACATACAAACACCCGTGAAAACCTCAGAAACATATATATATACATATATATATATATATATATATATATATATATATATATATATATATGTTTTCTGAGGTTTTCGCGGTGTTTGTATGTAGGTCTTTGGTTGTTCGGGTTTTTCCCGCGTAAAATTGGAAGTGTCTTGGCGACGTTTCGTGAAAACCTCAGAAAACATATATATATATATATATATATATATATATATATATATAATATATAATATATATATATATATATATATATATATATGTTTTCTGAGGTTTTCGCGGGTGTTTGTATGTAGGTCTTTGGTTGTTCGGGTTTTCTCCCGCGTAAAATTGGAAGTGTCTTGGCGACGTTTCGACGAAGTCCCATTCGTCATCTTCAGGCTGGTGTTTTCAGCTTCGTGCTTCGAGCAGCAATGTGTGGTCTTAGCTGTTTCTTCCTTTTAACTGCCAGTGGGGGTATGAACTGATTGGGTGGGAGCTTGGCTGTGTTCTGATTGGGTGGAGGTGTGTTCTGATTGGTTAGGGGCGTGGCTGTGCTCTGATTGGCTGGGGGGTTGGCTGTGCTCTGATTGGCTGGGGGGTTGGTTGTGCTCTGATTGGCTGGGGGAGTGTTATGTTTGGTTGTGCTCAGGTTAGTCTGAGTTGCAGAGGGGTTTAAGATTTTGGGCTGCCTTGCTATTTTTTGGCTTCGCGTTTGTGGTCGTGCCTCATTTTCATGGAGGGTGTCAGTTTGCTTCGTGTATGGATTGGAGGGCTTTGAAGTGGCTAATGATGCAGCTCTGGTCTGGCTTCTGGTTTGTGGTCGTGCCTCATCATCGGTGTGGCTTTGGGTTTGCGTTTTGCGTGGATGTGTGGTGGTGACATCCTGTGTGGTTTTTGTGAGTGTGGGTCTGGTATCATTTTTTGTATTAGGGAGTCGTTTGTCAATAAGGGCGGGTTTCCAAATGGCTGGTAGGCGGGAGGTATCATCTCGCTTGTTCATGCTGTGTGGGCGTTTTTCTATCTCGATGGCTTCTCTGATTATTCTGTTATTAAAATGTTCACTTTTGGCAATGGTTCTGGTATTTTTAAAGTCAATTTCATGTCCTGTGGCTTTAAGGTGTTGGACCAGGGAAGATGTTGGTTCCTCTTTTTTGACTGAGTTCTTATGTTCTTCAATGCGTGCACTTATTCTTCTGTTGGTTTGTCCGATGTATGTGGTGGGACAAGTGGTGCATGGGATTTCGTATACTCCTTGATTTTCTAATTCAATTTTATCTTTGGGGTTTCTAAGGATGGTGGATATTTTTCTGTTTGTGCAGAATGCTGTTTTGATGTTGTGTTTATGGAGGATCTTACTGATTCTGTCTGTGGTGCCTTTTATGTATGGGAGGAGGGCTTTGCCGTTTTCTTGTTCTTTGTCTTGGATTTTAGTGGGGGTTTCTTTTTGGATTAGGTTTGTAATCTTATTTCTATGGAATCCATTGGATGTTAGTACATTGGTGAGAGTGTGTAGTTCGGGTTTTAGGTGTTGTTCGTCAGCTAAGCGTTTTGTTCTGGAGATGAGTGTCTTGGCTACAGAGTTGATCTGTGCTGGGTGGTGGTGTGAGAGAGCGTGCAGATAGCGGTTTGTGTGTGTTTTCTTCTGGTAGATGGTGTGTCCTAGGGAGCCATTGGATTTCTTGTAGACTAAGACATCCAGGAAGGGAAGTTGGTTGTTAGCTTCTGTTTCCATGGTGAACTGTATTTTGGGGTGTAGGCTGTTGAGGTGTGTGAGGAAGTTGTCCAGTTTTTCTTTCCCATGTGGCCAGATTATGAAGGTGTCGTCTACGTATCTGAGCCAGAGTTTGGGTTTGTGATCCGATTTTTCTAGAGCTTGGGTTTCAAAGTGTTCCATGTAGAGGTTTGCAATGACAGGTGAGAGGGGTGATCCCATGGGTGCTCCTTCTGTTTGTTTGTATTTTTGTCCATTATAGATGAAGTATGTGTTGGATAGGCAGTGGTTGGTCAGATCTAAGATGTGTTTGGGGGGGTTATATTTGTTTTGGATAGCTGTCAAGGCTTCTTTGATAGGCACTTGGGTGAAGAGGGATATGACATCAAAGCTCACAAGTAGGTCGCTGGGCTGTAAGTTTTGTTTCTTTATGATCTCTATAAAGTGGAATGAGTTTTTTTACGTGTGAGGTGATGGATTCTGCATAGGGCTGTAGTTGTTTGGCGAGAAATTTGGCTAGGTTTTGTAGAGGTGAGCCTATGGAGCTGACTATAGGTCTGAGTGGGATTCCTTCCTTGTGTATCTTGGGGAGACCATAGAGTTTGGGGCATCTGGATGATTTCTCTCTGGGAATGATTCTTTGCTGGATCTCTTCGCTAATGGGAGAGGCTTTTATTTTGGATCTGGTGGTTTTTTCCAGGTAGGTGGTGGGATCTGTATTTAGGGGTTTGTATGTGGAGTCTTGGAGTAGGTTGGTTAATTTGGTTTGGTAGTCAGATGTGTTCATAACCACCGTGGCGTTGCCCTTGTCTGCTGGTAGGATTATTATGCTGGTGTCTTCTTTCAGGTTACGTAGTGCTGTCTGTTCCTCTTTGGGTAAGTTGCTTTTGGGTGGCTTGCTGGTACAGAGGATGTTGGTGATTTCGAGTCTGATTCTGTTAGCATCGTCGGGGTTGATTTTGGTCAGGCTGGTTTCAACTCCATATATATATATTTACATTGCCCCCAACCATTTGGGTCCTCATTTTACCTACCCCGGAAGGATGGAAGGCTGAGTCAACCTTGAGCCGGTGAGATTTGAACCGCTGACCTGCTGAACAGTCAGCTAAAGTGTTCTGCAGTACTGCACTCGAACTGCTGCGCCACCTCGGCTCTTCTTATGGGCTTCAGAGGGGGAGGGGGAGGCAGCAGCCTCACAGGGATCTGTTGGGGGAGAGCAGAAGTAGGCTCTGGGGGGGGTTATTGAGCCTCGGTTGGTTGGAGAAGCCCACCCACCCCACTTCCTTGATAGACCCAGGAGTCTCCAACTTTGGCCCCTTTAAGACTCGTGGACTTCAACTCCCAGAATTCCCCAGCCAGCCACGCTGAGGGGAAAGGGAGAGGTTTCCAAGCTGAGCCAGGCTGGCTCAGGAATTCTGGGAGTTGAAGTCCACCAATCATGAGGAGGCCAAAGTTTTCCCCATGCTGGCTCAGGAATTCTGGGAATTGAAGTCCACGAGTCATGAAGCGGCCTAGGCCTAGGCCAGAGGTAGGCAACCTTGGCTCTTTTATGACTGGTGGACTTCAACTCCCAGAATTCCTGAGCCAGCATGGCTCAGCTTGGAAACCTCTCCCTTTCCCCTCAGCATGGCTGGCTCAGGAATTCTGGGAGTTGAAGTCCACAAGTCATGAAGGGGCCAAGGTTGCCCACCCCTGATCTAGATTATCATTTTAAAATCCACTTTCTAATCCCCATCTTGGCTAAGTTTCTTTCTCTTCTGTAACCTTTTCAAATCCACTTTGTCTACAATAATAGCAGACAGCCTCAAAAGCAATTTCTGAGTGCGTCGTTCCCCAGTCGCCCTCACTGCATCCAAAATTAGAGCATTTTGCTCCGTTCCGTATTAATGGGGTTGAGTTCAAGTGTTCTTCTCCCTTACTTAAATTCTTTATCGTTGTTTCCGGTTCCATCAAGCACCCAGCCTTCAAAGTCCCATCTTAAAATGTTTTTTTTTTCCCCTGAACAAAAGAATTTTCCCATGGGAAGAATTGATTTCAAAATCTTTACAACGTTTTTTTTGTTGTTTTTTTAAAAAAAGAATCCAGAACAACATTTTCCCACGGGACGGATTCTTGTAAATAAGTTCACAATCTTATTTCCAAATCCATCTGGACCCCTAAGTCGGTTTTCCTAAATTTTTGACATAGTTTTTGAAGCACGCCTGCCTTTTGGTTGACAAGGCAAACTCAGCCTTCGTTTCCTCCTGTCTCGAAGTCTTTGACATCCAATTTGTGCTTGAGGGAGGGAAGAGATTTGCAGAGTAAAGTTGTCGAGGGGTCTGGCTTTTTTTTTTCTTTTTTAAATCTGTTTTTCTCTTCTGACTGAATAAATGGCTTGTTTTCTTGGCCACCTTCCCTTCCTTTTTTTTTTTCTGCAAAGCAGAATCCTTGTAATTTAATGAATGCAGCCCTGCTGGAGCCCATTATGGTGCCTTGTGTTGCTAGCCAGCCGTTTCTAAAACGTGTTGGAGCATTCACCGCTTCTGGAGGCAGGCTGTTCCACTGGTTAATTGTTCTCCCTGTCAGGAAGTTTCTCCTTAGTTCCAGGTTGCTTCTCTCCTTGATGAGTTTCCATCCATTGCTTCTTGTCCTGCCTTCAGGTGCTTTGGAAAATAGCTTGACTCCCTCTTCTTTGGGGCAGCCCCTGAGATAATGGAACATCGCTATCCTGTCCCCCCCGACGTCCTTCTCTTGATTAAACTAGACATCCCCAATTCCAGCAACCATTCCTTATATGCTTTAGCCTCTGGTCCCTTAACCATCTTTGTTGCTGTCGGGCCTTGTGTGTCTATACAGGAAGTCCTTAAGTTACAGCAGTTCATTTAGTGATCATTTGGAGTTACAATGGCACCAGAAAAAGTGACTTATGAACCTTTTTACACTCTTGTTCTCCTGTTTGAGCAGGGGGCTGGACTAGAAGACCTCCAAGGTCCCTTCCAGTTTCTATTCTATTCTATTCTTATTTCTATTTCTATTATCCTATCCTATTCTATCCTGTTCTATTAATTGGCAGCCGTCCTTCAAAATGATTACTCTTAAACAGGGGTTTTGGGGGAAAGTGATCTAAGTTAACCAATTTAAATTTTAATTCTTTGTGAGAGTTGATTGAGAGTATCAGACAAATTAATCAGGGCTGACTTCAGATGTCGCCTGGAACATATTCGGAGCACGCTGTAACTGAATTCTCATTTTCTCTGTCTCCCTCGGGGGATTTTGAAGAAAAAAAAAAAACACCGCCGGCTCAATTTTGCCAGTGTAGATTTATGACACAATAGCCCATTTAAAATTGAGTCCTTCCAGAGCCGTACTTCTCCGCCTAGACGTGGGCCTGTGATGGGATTAAACCCATTACAGAGAAGCCACATCTGGGTTGATGATTGATTTGAAAGTGTCTGCATTTATAATATTTGATCCGTGCTTAGGCCGAGCAGCATCAGAATGAGGGTTAACAACAATGTCAGGTCCAATTTCCGTTTACAGTCTTCCAGAGAAGCCTCTCCGATTATAACCAAGTTGGTCCAGTGGCCGTGATTCAACCTTTTAAGACACCTTTGGCCTGGATGATGGAAGTCTTCTTTGGCATACAGGCAGTCCTCTACTTAATGACCAGAATTGGCTGGCTGGGGGATTCTGGGAGTTGAAGTCCACATGACTTAAAGCGGTCCAGGTTGAGAAACGCTGCCTTACAGCAGAGGTCCCCAACCTCGCCCACTTTAAGACTTGTGGACTTCAACTCCCAGAATTCCTCAGCCAGCCAAGCTGGCTGAGGAATTCTGGGAGTTGAAGTCCACAAGTCTTAAAGTGGGCGAGGTTGAAGACCCTTGCCTTACAGCAATAAAGTAGACCCCTGGGCTTCTTGCAGTGGCTGTTTTCTGACATTTTCTGAAATAGTTTACTCTCCGATGACTTCAAGAGGCAAAGGTCTCCTGGGAATATTCTGGAAAGACTCCCCAGAGGGTTTTTTTTTCCCCCCTCTCTGGCTTATTCTGCAGGCTTGCGTGTCGCCCAGTACTCTTTTACGAGAAGCCGAGAGAGGCAGCTAAATAAAAGTGGAATAAATGCAAGAAAAGACTTGTGCACAGATGCCTCTTCTCTCTGCGTGACTCAACTCAGCTAAGCAACCACTTGATAAGGAGTTGCTAAATTCTAGGGGAAGAAAACACGTGGAGCAAAAGATGGAATCGCATGCAAAAAAAGGGGCTGGGCTGAACTATGTTTCCCCCCCCTTTTTTTTTTAATTGTCTGTCTGATTTATTCGCCAGGTTTTTCATCCTCCTTTGATTATTTTATCTGGTTATGTTTCGCTTTAAGAATCCTCTGCATTTGCTGGATCACTTGTCTGCCGTCAAATCCTCACTTTGCTTCTCCCAATCAGGTCGGCTTCCTCAAGATCCTGCACAAATACGAAATCACATTCGTCCTGCCTTTTGTGCAGCTCCTGGGGAAGGAAATTTGTCCGGCACCTCTCTCGAACCTGCATCTCAAGGTGACCAACATCGCCCCGGTATCTGAAGGTACGTTCTCTCGGCTTTTGGGGAAGAAAGCGTTCATGCCGCTTTATAACGCCTGGGTAAGGCCACCACTTGGAATCCTGCCTCCTGTTTTGGTTGCCACGGTGTAAAAAAAAGATGTTGAGACTTTAGAACAGTGGTTCTCAACCTTTTTAATGCTGCGACCCCCAACCGGTCGTAAGTCAAGGACTACTCAACTGGTCGTAAGTCGAGGACTACTCAACTGGTGCAGCACAGAATGGGACTTTTGGCGGGCTCAGCAGGGCAGAATTAGACTCTATTCAAGGGAGTCTATTCTATTGGCTTTCAAAAGCCAATAGAATAAAAGGGAGGAGCACAGCTAAGGAAAATGGGGAAAAAATGGCGGACTGCGTTGTTTGGCAACCCCCGTGAAATGGTCATTCGACCCCAAATGGGGTCCCGACCCCCAGGTTGAGAACCACTGCTTTAGAAAGAGTGCAGAGAAGAGCAACGAAGATGATCAGGGGGGACTGGAGGCTAAAACATACAAGGAACGGTTGCTGGAATTGGGGATATCTAGTCTAATGAAAAAAGGACGAGGGGTGACATGATGGCAGTCTTCCAGTATCTCAGGGGCTGCCCCAAAGAAGCTATTCTCCAAAGCGCCTGAAGGCAGGACAAGAAGCAATGGATGGAAACTCACCAAGGAGAGAAGCAACCTAGAACTAAGGAGAAACTTCTTAAGGGTGAGGACAAGTAACCAGTGGAATGACTTGCCTCTGGAATCCCTACGTAGCCACAAGTGAATTAAGTCCCCCCCCTCCTGTTGGCCCTTATCTTACTCTTAACCTGTGTTAAGTTTCCCGGGCAGAGACTTTAAACTATAAATTTAATTGGTCCTTCACACTTGACAAGATGGGAATGAAAGGAACAAGGGAAGGAAGGAAAGAAGGAAGGAAGGAAGGAAGGGAGGGAGGGAGGGAGGGAGGGAGGGAAGGAAGGAAGGAAGGAAGGAAGGAAGGAAGGAAGGAAGGAAGGAAGGAAGATAAGGGATCAGAATCCAGGGGAGGTGGAGTCAAAAGTGGGGTCAGCCTAGAATCCTGACGTAGCCACAAGCAAATTAAGTTCAACACACACCCCAGAATTCTGTGGACTCTTAGCACATGTTATTTTATTTTATTTATTTTATTTTTAAAATTTATAAGCCACCCCACTCCCGGAGGACTCTGGGCGGCTAACAATAAAAAACACATAAAACATAACAAAACAAACAATACAATAACATTCATCCAGGGGTCAGATTTTATAAACCCCAGGCCTGCCGGAAAAGCCAGGTCTTAAGTAGCTTACGGAAGACCAACAGGGTGGGAGCGGTCCTAATCTCCGGGGGGGGGGAGCTGATTCCAAAGCGTGGGCGCCATCACAGAGAAGGCCCTCCTCTGCGGCCCCGCCAAATGGCACTGCTTGGCCGACGGGGCCCGAAGGAGGCCCAGCCTGTGGGATCTAACCGGACGTAGGGAACTATGAGGTAGTAGGCACTCTCGCAAATAACCTGGCCCTGAGCCATATAGGGCTTTAAAGGTAATGACCAACACCTTGAATTGGACCCGGAGACCAATAGGCAACCAGTGCAGCTCACGGAGGATAGGTGTAGCGTGGGTGTATCGAGGAGCACCCACTATCACTCGCGCGGCTGCATTCTGGACCAACTGTAGTCTCCGAATACTTTTCAAGGGTAGCCCCATGTAGCCATGTTAACATGAGTTGGGAAGATTCCTGCACAGAGGCTTTAAGCAACAAAAATTCTTTCCATTGAACCTTCATAGCTGGCCTGTCCCTCCTGACAGTCGTCTCATAACATTTTCCCTCTTCTGTGCTTCTCTTTCTCCTTTTAAGGACTCTTTTGGGGAGGGGGGGGAGAGCATTTTGCATTTTGCCTCGCCGAGTTCCCCCAGTTGCTCTTTGGAGGGTCCTTTGATGCAGCGGGCGGGTCGCCCTTTCTTTGTCTCCCAGGCTACAGGGTCAGTTGCGAGTACGTGGCCCACAAGGAAGGTGTCCTGCATGAAGAGATGGTCCTTTGCAGCGAGACTAACCACAGTGCCAGCATCAAAGTTGTCGTGCAAGCCCGGGTGATGGGTAAGGGTCTGCCTGTTCTTGCCCCCAGGCTAGGCATCCCCTTCTCCCTCCCTCCCTCCCTCCCTCCTCCCCTTCACTTTCCTGCCTCTTTGCATTTCCTCTCTGCACCTCCCGAGGGTCTGGTTTAATATCCTGCCGACAATGTCCAGGAAATTAAACTCAGCCTGCGGGCGTCTTTGAACACATCCCTGGGGTTGAATTAATCTGCCAGGCTGAAGGTGATATGATCTGAAGCCCTCAATGTCAAGCTTAAAGGAGATGTTGAGACTCTGCAAAGAGTGCAGAGAAGAGCAACTAGGACAATCCAAGGCCTGGAGAGTAAAACATACGAACGGCTGCAGGACTTGGGAATGGCCAGTCTAGAGAAAAGAAAGGACGGGGGGGGGGGACATGATAGCAGTAGTCTAGTATTTGAGGGGCTGCCACAAAGAAGAGGAGGGGGTCAACTTAATGTCCAAAGCCCCTGAAGAAGGCAGGACAAGAAGCAATGGATGGAAACCCATCAAGGAGAGAAGCAACCTAGAACTTTCTTGACGGGACAAATAATCGGCAGAACAGTTTCCTCCAGAAGTTGTGGGTGCTTCATCAGTGGGGGCTTTTAAGAAGAGACTGGACAGCCACTTGTTTCAAATGGCATATAGCAGGGGTAGGCCACCTTGGCTCTTTTATGACTGGTGGACTTCAACTCCCAGAATTCCTGAGGCAGCATGGGGGAACTATGGCCCCCTCATGATTCGTGGACTTCAACTCCCAGAATTCCTGAGCCAGCATGGGGGAACTATGGCCCCCTCATGATTCGTGGACTTCAACTCCCAGAATTCCTGAGCCAGTATAGGGGAACTATGGCCCCCTCATGATTCGTGGACTTCAACTCCCAGAATTCCTGAGCCAGCATGGGGGAACTTTGGCCCCCTCATGATTTGTGGACTTCAACTCCCAGAATTCCTGAGCCAGCATGGGGGAACTTTGGCCCCCTCATGATTTGTGGACTTCAACTCCCAGAATTCCTGAGCCAGCATGGGGGAACTTTGGCCCCCTCATGACTCGTGGACTTCAACTCCCAGAATTCCTGAGCCAGCATGGGGAACTGTGACCCCCTTATGACCTGTGGACTTCAACTCCCAGAATTCCTGAGCCAGCATGGGGGAACTATGGCCCCCTCATGACTCGTGGACTTCAACTCCCAGAATTCCTGAGCCAGCATGGGGAACTGTGACCCCCTTATGACTCGTGGACTTCAACTCCCAGAATTCCTGAGCCAGCATGGCTCAGCTTGGAAACCTCTCCCTTCCCCTCAGCATGGCTGGCCCAGGAATTCTGGGAGTTGAAGTCGACGAGTCATAAAAGAGCCAAGGTTGCCTACCTCTGGTCTAGGGTCTCCTGCTTGAGCAGGAGGCTGGACTAGAAGACCTCCAAGGTCCCTTCCAGGTCTATCCTGATATGGATACAGACAGGAGACAAGGCATCGGGGTATGGTTAAGCTTTAAGACAAGCCATAAAACTGCGGCCCCCAACCTTTTGGGCACCAGGGACCGGTTCCGTGGAGAGAGGTTTTCCCACAGACCGAAGGGGTGTGTGGTTTCGTGTGCTGCTTGCATCCCGTGGATGAGGCCTTCCTTCTTTGTGCGGATCGGTTTCTGGCATGCCGCGGCCCAGTTCCAGTCCACGGCCCGGGGGCTATCCACCTGGGGATGCTTGCAGGGACTAGATCTTGTTGAGCAGAAATGGATCTCTACCCCGGCTTGCCAGCTGCAGTGACCACACACACACACACACACACGGCTCTCTGCCTGTTTCCTCTCCACTTCACACATGCGCTGTTCCCTTGTCTTGCAGACCGACACCACGGCACGCCGATGCTCCTGGAAGGCGTGAAGTGCATCGGAGCCGAAGTGGAATACGACTCGGAGCAAAGCGAGTGGCAGGGCTTTGACTAACCAGGATTCGCCCCCTTCCTGCTGCAGACTCCAGCACCTTCCCGGGGTTCTCTACCTATATAGATATATATAAATATATATATACACACACATATATATATATTTTCCGGTTAAGCTTGAAATAAAAAAAAAAAAACGCCATCTTCGCTGCCCGCTAGCTGCCAGGTTCAAGCGCTCTTGTGATGTGCCGGTCCGATGACGCTCGTCTTGTGGGTCCTGTCTACCACCACCACCACCCCCACACACACCGTTACAACTACAATTAAACTCGTAGGTCGTGCTTTGGACGCTTAGGAGCGCGGATCCAGTTCTGCAACCTCCGTGCCGTGGATGGTGCGGCTCAGAGCATGCCCCGTCCGACGGCCGTAACGCTCCTTGAATTCAGCCGTGCTGTTTTTTGTTTCGATTTTTAATTCTGCCTGGTTTAGCAAAGTCGGATGGCTACGGAGGGTTTTCTGCAACTGTGTGGTTTGCAAAACGGAGGGGAAAGCCAGCTGACCGGATGTTTTACCATTTAGAGCAGGGGTCTGCAACCCCCGGGCTGAGGCCTGTTCGGAACCGGGCCGTGCAAGCAGCGGGTGAGCGTGTGCTCGCCCGCAGCTCCATTTGCGTGAGCGGCAGGTGCACGCACGCGCTGCTTGCAGAAACATGCGTATTCATGCGTGCACCTGCCGCTCACACGGAACCATCCCCCCCTCCTGCCGTTCCGGGAAAGGTTGGGGACCGCTGGTGTAGAGGCGGGATTGGGCAGCTCGCCGAAGCCAACTCCGCCACGGAACAATTCAAGAATTCACTTTCATTTTTTTAAATAGTTTTAGAAATGATTTTAATTTTTCTCATTCACATTTTACGTCGTCTCTCCTCCGGCATCCTTTCTTGAATGATTCTGTTTATTTCTTTAATAACAGCGCATAAGTCTGTTGGCCGTGCTGAGCTCGCTGTGCCGAAATGGCTCCCTGGTCAGTTGCGCGTCGCAAGCTGGCTGCAGTGATTGGGCCATGGCGAGGTGCGATAGATCCTTTAGAGCAGCATTCCCCAACCTTTCCAAAAAGGAAATGTGCGCAACCGTGGCTCCATGCATGCATGCGCAAATGGGCGCATGCACAACAACGCTGGTGTGCACATGCACACACAAATGGGCTGCCAGTGCCCACGTGATGGCAATGCTAGTCTCCCCACGCATGTGCAAATGGGGCTGCTAGTGCCCACGCAGTAGTGCTACCGCGAATGGGCTGGGGTCTGGTGGCAAACAGGCCGCGGCCCAGTACTGGGCTGTGGATCATAGGTTCTGGACTCCTGCTTTAGAGCAGTGTTTCCCAAACTTGACAATTTTAAGGCATGAGGACTTCAACTGCCAGAATTCCACAGCCAGCGTTGCTGGCTGTGGAATTCTGGGAGTTGAAGTCCACATGCCTTAAAATTGTCAAGTTTGGGAAACACTGCTTTAGAGGATGCTGCTGTTTTAAAAAAACCGAAGAGATAAAGCTTCTTTTAGCTTGTTGGAAGGTGCCCTGAAAAGCTGTTTGGCGGGGGGGGGCAAGAAATTATGGGTTGTTTTTGCTGAAGTTGGCTTAGCCACCCCTGGCTGCCGCCCCAAAACAGCTGTTTAGTGCTAAAAGGCTGGCCAAGGTTTTATATTTGTTGCAAGCTCTGCGTTTTAAGAGGCTTTGAGGTTAACTGTGAGACTGACAATTCCTGGGGACCCCTGCACACAATCCAGTTGGTCTGGGCTTGGGGGTCCCCCTCTTTCCTCTCCCCTCCCCCGCCCTCCCTCTCCCAAACCCCACTCAGGAAGAAACACCCCCCTCCCCCCCCCAAGCCTTCTCAGCTTTTTGCAAAGATTTCCCCTTCCCCCCCCCCCGTTTCATTTGAACCCGCCTCCCTTTCGGTTTTCCCCTTGGCTACAAGGATCGGGGTCGCTGTGGTCCCGTTGCGATGCAACCCCTTCTTCTCCCGTTCATTCCCACCACACCCCTCCCTCCCAAGTTTGGTTAGCCTAGGAAGGCGGGTTTTTTTTTTCTTCAAAAGGAGATAGTGCAAGAGAAGATTTTTTTTGCAGGTAGGTGGTTTGTGTTTCTCCGTGGAAATGTCACACCTGGAGCCCAAAGTCCCATTCCTTGAGTTATCTAGGGCAGCGTTTCTTGAGCGTGGGGACTTTAAGAGGGCTGGACTTCAACTCCCAGAATTCCCCAGCTGGGGAATTCTGGGAGTTGAAGTCCAGCCCTCTTAAAGTCCCCACGCTCAAGAAACACTGCCCTAGGGCATCTGCAACCGTGGCCACTTTAAGACTGATGGATTCTGGGAGTTGAAGTCCACAAGTTGCCAAGGTGGAAGATCCGTGCCCTAAGGAATTAGCTCCTCCGAAGGGAGAGATAGACCGCAAGTGCTGGGCCTTCCAGCTTCCCTAGAAAGAGGGCCGTTGATGCAGGCGGCGCGCGATCCTTGGGTAGCTTACTCCGTCTCCAAGACGACAACCTGCGTCGAGTAGTTGGTGAGTTTCATGAGTTGGAACGGTTTTCTTGGGCTTTTTTCGTGGGTGGGATTTGGCTTCCTGCAGCTCCCTGCCCGCTGGCGGCCCGTAGACGCCACGACGATGGGACGTGTCGTGACAGTCATCTCAACGGTGAAGATGACGTTCATGGGTTGATGGCCTCAAAGTGTTTGGCCAACCCACCCTGTCCTAATCCTGGTGTTCAGGTTGCCCGTCTAGGCGGGAGAGCTGGGGGTGGACGTCCAGCTGAGGTTGGGTACCTCAGTGGCATCTGCTTTAGAGTGGGTCCACCTCAGCAGGGCGGTGGGCATGGCGTCGCCAACCGGCTCTACCCCACGCCTGCTCTTACGTCCCCAATGTCCCCCCAACGTTTGGAGAAGTGAGGTCCGTGAGCTTTGGAGAAGGTTGGGAGATGTTCCTCAACCTTGAAGATAGACAGGTGGACTTCAACGCTCAGAATTCCTCAGTTGGCTTCTGGGAGTTGAAGTCCACACATCTTCAGGTTGCAAGGTTGATAAAACATCTCCCGGCCTTCTCCAAAACTCATGGACCTCCCTCCCGCTAGGACTTCCGCCTCTTCTTGTTGGCAAACTTCCAAGCAAGGACCTCCCAGGTGGGCAGACCCCCCACCACCACCACCAGAAGGGCCATCCCAGCAGCTGCTTCTGAGTTTTTCTCAGCTTATAATAGGGTGGGGGCAGCCCTGGGCAACTGGACCCTCTTCCCAACCGAGAGGCCTCCAGCCCAGGGGGTCTTCCAACTTGGCCCTTTGATGACTTGTGGACTTCAACTCCCAGAATTCCTCAGCCAGTTGAAGTCCACAAGTCATCAAAAGGCCAAGTTGGAAGACCCCGGCTCTAGTCCATTCCTGGAGAAACGACAGCTTCGAATTCTGCCTTCACGAGACGTGAGGCGCCCCCAGACCTTTGGAGCCATAACAGTTCCTATTCAAACATTAAGGATCTCTTTCTGTCTCCCCTTGCCCGCCACCCTCTCCCCAGTATAAGCCCCCTCTTTGTGAAAAAGCTCGTGGGGTACGCAGCAGGGATGTGGTGGTCTTCGTGGAAGAAACCAATGGATTTTATGTGCCTATGTATAAAACACCCTCATGCACACACCCCTATAAGAAAACCTGGGTTTGGGGTTCCTTTGTTGTCGTTTTTTTAAGCAAACATTCTCTGAAAAAAAAAAAGATAATAAATTTCAGTTGAAAAAAAAAAAAAAAAACTACCTCTGTTCTTCTGATCTCTGGTGGGCAGACCGGTGAGGAGGGGAGAAGAAAAGAGAGAAAGAAAGAAAGAAAGAAAGAAAGAAAGAAAGAAAGAAAGAAAGAAAGAAAGAAAGAAAGAAAGAAAAAAGAAAGAAAAGAAAGAAAGAAAAGTGGTTTTGACTTTTGACGTGAAGACTCATCCTTGTTCTTTCCTTCCTTCACAAGGAATTTTTCTCCACTGTTTGCTTCCCTGGTTCAGTCTGAAGACTGTTCAGTTTCTGGTTGCGTACACACACACACACACACTTCCTGCCACTTTTTTTCTGAGGACCACTGAGCTTATGTGTTTGTAGTTGGAGGGCAAACCTAAAGCCCTTGGGCCAGCTTCTCCTTTGGGTGGAGGGCTCCTCTGGGGCCCCCGGTGTTCTCTGAACTGGCTGGTTTCCTTGCAGACGTTACATCACCCAACTGGGTAACATCATCAGTGCTAGAATGGAGGAGGAGGAAGGGAAGGAGGAGGAGGAGGACTGTGTGGTCCTTGATGCTCTCTGAGCTGGGTGGTTTTCTTGCAGACGTTTCATGGCCCAACTAGGTGACATCAGTGTTAGAAGGGAGGAGGGGTTGCGGAGTGGAGGAAGAGGAGGGGAAGGAGGAAGACTGTGGGGTCCTTGGTGCTTTCTGAGCTGGGTGGCAGACATTCCATTACCCAACTAGGTAACTTCATCAGTCGGAGGAGGAGGAAAAGAACTATGGGGTCCTTGGTGCTTTCTGAACTGGGTGATCTTCTTGCAGACATTTCATTACCCAACTAGGTAACATCATCAGTGCTAGAAGGGAGTGGGGTTTGTGGAGAGGAGGAGGAGGAGGACTGTGAGGGCCTTGGTGCTTTCTGAGTTCAGTGCTAGAAGGGAGTGGGGGGGGAGGGGGAGGAGGAAGATGACAACAACGACTTTGGGATCCTTCGCGCTCACTGAGCTGGCTGGTTTCCTTGCAGACGTTACATCACCCAACTGGGTAACATCATCAGTGCTAGAAGGGAGAGGGGTTTGCAGGGAGGAGGAGGAGGAAGAGGAGGACTGTGGGGTCCTTGGTGCTATCTAAGCTTGCTGATTTTCTTGCAAACATTTCATGACCAAATTAGGTAAGATTATCAGTGCTAGAAGGGAGGGCATTGGAGGAGGAGGAGGAGGAGGAGGAGGAGGAGGAGGAGGAGAAGAAGAAGAAGAAGAAGAAGAAGAAGAAGAAGAAGAAGAAGAAGAAGAAGAAGAGGAGGAGGAGGAGGAGGAGGAGGAGGAGGAGGAGGAGGAAGAAGAAGAAGAAGGGGAGGAGGAGGAGGAGAAAAGATGAAGGAAGAGAAGAAGAGAAAAGGAAGAAGGAAGAGAAGAAGAGAAGGAGGAGGAGGGGAAAAGAAGAAGGAAGAAAGGAGAGAAGAAGAAGAAGAGAAAAGAAGGAAGAAGAAGAGGAGGAGGAGAAAAGAAGAAGAAGAACAACAACTATGGGGTCCTTGGTGCTCTCTGAACTGGCTGGTTTCCTTGCAGACGTTTCATGGCCCAACTGGGTAACGTCATCAGTGCTAGAAGGGAGTGGGGTTTGTGGAGAGGAAGAAGGGATCACATGATCCCGGGATGCTGCGACCATCATAAGTATAAACCAGTTGCCAAGCATCCGAGTTTTGATCAAGGGATGCTGCACTGGTGGTTAAGGGTGAAAACCGGTCCCAAGTCCCTTTTTTCACTGCCCTCGTCACTTGGGACGGTCGCTAAATGAATAGTTGCAAATCAAGGAGTAGCTGTCGTTAAGTTGTGGAGCTGGCTTTTCCCTACAAAGCTTTGCCTTGTTGTTCATTATGGGTATATATATATATATTTTTGACGTCCATCTGGCTAAGAGATCTCCTCAAGCAGTGGAAGGTAGAATGCATCATTACATCGGAACGTCCGTTTTTATAGACATATTTAGTGCTCCAAAAACCCATAATTGGTCTCCCTGGGAAGCCCAAGACCGCTGGTTCCAGGTGACAGCTTGGAGAAACCCTTGCGAGATGTTCTCAGATGTTCTCCAGTGCTTCAGAGCAGGGGTCTTCCAACTTGGTCCTTTGATGACTTGTGGACTTCAACTCCCAGAATTCCTCAGCCAGGCACGCGTGCCTGGCTGAGGAATTCTGGGAGTTGAAGCCCACAAGTCATCAAAGGGCCAAGTTGGAAGACCCCTGATATGGACTTTAAGAGAGTGACTTCAACTCCCAGAGTTCCTCAGCCAGCGTGCCTGGCTGAGGAATTCTGGGAGTTGAAGTCCACAAGTCATCAAAGGGCCAAGTTGGAAGACCCCGATATAGACTTTAAGAGGAGTGGACTTCAGCTCCCAGAATTCCTTAGCTAATCTAGGTTAGCTAGGTTCCAAGACCACCATCTGCTGCTCTTCCCCACTTTGGACCCCATTAATCCCAACGCTTACTGACCCCCTTGTCCGTTGGCTATCATAAGTTCCAGCTTGCTATTTTTGGACAGGTTCATGACTCCCACTCCCCCCCCCCAAAAAAACTGGCCAATGGTTGGGCTGAATCCATAAAAGTGGAGTCCACCACTCCATCAAGTGGCTCACTTCACCCAGAAGAACGGGTGCCTCACCTCGGCTCTTCCGCCAGTCCAGAGTCGTCCTCCTTCTGGACCTCAGTTGGAGAGGAAGTCGATGGACGCCCGCACGGTCTTGGAGGTCCACACGTCCATGGCTGCCACCTTGATCTCCGTATCGCCAAACTGCATGCTGGCCCGTATCTCCCGCCGGCTTTTCTTGGGCGAGTTGGACTCGTCCAGTTCCTCCAATTCTAGACTGATGGTGCCACACTTCCTCACCCCCGGATCGGTGATGTAGACGGCCTCGTCCGTGGCGCAGCAGTAGATGTTGATGATGATCTTGCGTTGACCCACCCGGGCTGGGCAGTAGCTCCTCTGCACCACTTCGCCCAAGGCCACAGACTGGTCCACCGAGACGAACTTCTCAAAGACGTCGGTGCACCAGTTCTTCCCGTCCTTGACCATCAGCTTCTCCTTGGGGTGTTTCCCCTCCACAAACTTGTTCAGGACCCCCACGCCATAGGTCAAGGGTGAGCGTCTCACCCGGACGATGGTGGGGTCAAGGCCGAAGAGCACCGCCCCTTTCAGGATGGTCAGGCCCACGTCCTGAGGGATGATGACCCGGCAGGAGCTGCTGAAGGCGGACTGGACGGCGTGCTGCAAAATGGCCGACTCGGCGAACCCGCCCACCAGGAAGAGGAACTTGATGCCTTTCACTTCGGGCTTCTTCATGAGGTCGTCTGAAGGAAGGAAGGAAGGAGAAGTCGGGATGCGGAGGAGAAGAAAGGGAGAAAATCACCTTAGTCCAACCGAGGGGCAAAGCTGGACATTTGCCCGAGATGGGACGTGAAGAGAGAGATACAAAGAGTCTGTTTCTTCGTAATTTAGCTCAGGGGGCTCCAACCTCTAGGCCGTGGCCCACTACCGGGCCGTGGCCTCTTGGCCACCAGGCCACGGAACAAGCTGGCCAGTGTGCGCACATGTGTGGCAGCACTTCTACTCGCACTAGCGCTGCCGCCGTAGCGAAAACGGCACCGGCCGTCAAAAGCGGGGCTCTGCCATGTGGCAAAAACGGGCGGTGCTAGCGAGTGTTGCGCATGCTCATGGCCCCGTTTATGTGTGCGCGCGTGCATTTAAAATGCTTCCCCCTCCCTTTCCATCCGGTCCGCCAACAGAGAAAGGTTGGAGACCTCTGATTTAGCTCATGGGATGACTTCTGCCCTTGAGTATGAAGAACGGTTGCAGGAACTGGGTAGGTCTACTCTAGGATCGAGGGAGACATGGTAGCCATCTTCCAGTATTTGAGGGGCTGCAACAGAGAAGGGGGAGTCAACCTCCCAGGCCCAGCAGCGGAGGCCCGGAGGACTCACCAATATGCCGGATGATCTGGCTGACGGTGGGCTGGAAGAGATCGTTCATGGCCTCTGGAGACATGCGCAGCATCCCTTGAGAGGACCACTTCACCAAGTGCATGCTGGGAAGGCAAGGGGAGAGACAGAGGGCTGAGGAGGGTCTCTCGTTTTATTTCATGTTAGCATGCAACATCCTGGGCTGAGGGGAGCTGCAGAAGGGAAGAGGTGGTGATGGTCTTGAGCCCGTCAGTGGCCTAGCAGTCTGAGGGTCCAAGGTTACCTCCCCACACTCACTCAGTCATACACACAGACACAAACAAACACAAACACACACATGCAAACTAGTGAGTTTGTTTCTGTTTCTTTACGGCTCCGATTCTGTAGGTCTGTCTCTCTGTGTATCATATTTCTCTCTCTCTCTAATCAATCTATCTATCTATCTATCTATCTATCTATCTATCTATCTATCTATCTATCTATCTATCATCTCTCTATCTATCCTTCCATATCATCTGTCTGTCTATCTACGTATCATCTATCTATCATCTTCCCCTTTGCTCTATCCTTTCTTATCTATCATTTATCTATCTATCTATCTATCTATCTATCTATCTATCTATCTATCTATCTATCTATCTATCTATTTCTCATCTATTTCTTTCTGTCTGTCTGTCTATATCTATCTATGTTTCTATTTATCTATTTCTATTTATCTAATCTTTCTTTTCTATCTAATCTATCATATCTATCTGTATCTATCATCATCATCAATATTTATCTATCTAGCTAGCTAGCTATCATCTGTAGCTATCAATCACCTATCATCCCTCCCTCCCTCATCTATCTATCTATCTATCTATCTATCTATCTATCTATCCTTCCATATCATCTGTCTATCTATGTATCATCTATCTATCATCTCCCCCTTTCTCTATCCTTCTATCATCTATCTATCTATCTATCTATCTATCTATCTATCTATCTATCTATTTCTCATCTATTTCTTTCTGTCTGTCTGTCTATCTATATCTATCTATGTTTCTATTTATCTATTTCTATTTATCTAATCTTTCTTTTCTATCTAATCTATCATATCTATCTGTATCTATCATCATCATCAATATTTATCTATCTATCTAGCTATCTATCATCTGTAGCTATCAATCACCTATCATCCCTCCCTCCCTCATCTATCTATCTATCTATCTATCTATCTATCTATCTATCTATCTATCTATCCTTCCATATCATCTGTCTATCTATGTATCATCTATCTATCATCTCCCCCTTTCTCTATCCTTCTATCTATCTATCTATCTATCTCTCTATCATCTCCCCTGCCCCCTCCCTCTCTCTCCCTCCCTCCCTCCTGCCCCATGGCCCCCCAGTTCTCCCCCACCTGCTGCGCTTCAGGGCGGTCTCCACGTTCTGCCCTCGGTGCTTGCGGTAGAAGTCGATGAAGGAGAAGGGGAGGGAGATGTTGAGCGGGTTGGCCCGGTGGGGGGCGGCCGTCCGCTTCCGGGCCTCGAAAGCGATGGTCAGGTCGACCCAGGCCGCCGGGCGCTTGGCCTTGAAGGTAGCGATGAAGTCTTCCCCAAATATCTGGCAGAGCAGCTTCTCAAAGGCCAGGTCCACCCCGACAGCCCCGTAGGGACCTCCTGGCCGGAGAGGGGAGAGCAAAGAGACGGACGGTCAAGTCAAGAGCGAGGAGAGATCCGGGCGCTTTCTGCGCCCCAAAATAGGAGCCTGGAAGGTTCTCCTCTGGCGAATGAAAGGGGCTCTTCAGACCCGCTGCTTCCAGGTCCCTCTTGATTTGGGGCCACCATGGACAAAGTCAGCTCTGCTCTCTCCGGTTTGCCCAAGAAGATCTCCAGAAGTGGCCCTGCAGCTTGCTTGGTTCCCCCTCTAGGATCCATTTCATCTATTCTACAGAGAGTCCTCAGCTGACAAGGGAGCCCCACGTTTCCTTTCCTTCCCTTTCCTCTCCTTTCCTCTCCTTTCCTTTCCTCTCCTTTCATTTCCTTTCCTCTTCCCTCCTCTCCTTTCCTTTCCTTTCCTTTCATTTCCTCTCCTCTCCTCTCCTTTCCTTTCCTCTCCTTTCCTTTCATTTCCTTTCCTTTCCTCTCCTCTCCTCTCCTTTCCTTTCCTCTCCTTTCCTTTCATTTCCTTTCCTTTCCTTTCCTTTCCTCTCCTCTCCTTTCCTTTCATTTCCTTTCCTTTCCTCTCCTTTCCTTTCCTCTCCTCTCCTTTCATTTCCTTTCCTCTTCCCTCCTCTCCTTTCCTTTCGTTTCCTTTCCTCTCCTCTCCTCTCCTTTCCTTTCATTTCCTTTCCTCTTCCCTCCTCTCCTTTCCTTTCGTTTCCTTTCCTCTCCTCTCCTTTCCTTTCATTTCCTCTCCTTTCATTTCCTCTCCTTTCCTCTCCTTTCCTTTCATTTCCTCTCCTCTCCTTTCATTTCCTCTCCTTTCCTTTCGTTTCCTCTCCTCTCCTTTCCTCTCCTTTCCTTTCATTTCCTCTCCTCTCCTTTCATTTCCTCTCCTTTCCTTTCATTTCCTCTCCTCTCCTTTCCTCTCCTTTCCTTTCCTTTCCTCTCCTCTCCTTTCATTTCCTCTCCTTTCCTTTCGTTTCCTCTCCTCTCCTCTCCTTTCCTCTCCTTTCCTACTTTACTTTACTTCACTTCACTTCCCTTCTCTCCCTTTCTCCTTCTCTCTTCCTTTCCTTTCCCACTCCTCCCTCCCTCCTTCCTTCCTTCTCATCCCTTCCCTTTCCTTTCCTTTTCTCCTTCTCCTTCTTTCTCTCCTTTTCTTCCCTTCTGTTCCCTTCCCTTCTCTCCCTTTCTCATTCTCCTCCTTCTCCTTTTCCTTTCCTTTCCCACTCCTCCCTCCCTCCTTCCTTTCCTACTTTACTTTACTTTGCTTCGCTTTGCTTCACTTCGCTTTTTACTTTACTTCACTTCGCTTCCTCTCCTCGCACTTCACTTTTTACTTCACTTCACTTCCTCTCCTCTCCTCTCCATTCCATTGCTAAGTAAGACATTTGTTATTTGAACTTTGTGTCATTTTACAACCTTTCTTAATATCGTACAACAGTTCCAAGATGGCTCCCCACCCATTTGCACTACTCAGGTGACCCCGAAGACCCAGGTAAACCTCCAGGTGGCCTCAACGACTCTCTAAAGGAAGGCAAATGACCAGCTGTCTGCCAGGAGTATAAATCCTTCCATCCTCCACCATCCAGTCAGAGCGGAAGAAGCTTCTGGGATGAGAAGGGAAACGTCTTCAAAGAGAAACAAGAAAGTCCAGTTGCCTCCTGACAAAAAAAAGCACTTTTGGGACAACCCTGAGAGGACAGAGAAGCTCTGCAGACTTTTAGCTTTTTCTTTTCTTTTTAATGTATGTATTCATCATTTTTATTTATTTTTTTTTTCGGTGTTTATCTCAAGCATATTTAAACTCAGTTACAGATGACTGAGTTCAATACAGTGTGTCCATCGTCTGACAAATTTTTTTAAAAAAACTAAAATGAAGGATAAATAAAGTTGGCCCAAGGCTGCCATCTGCTGAAGGATCTACCGTGAAGAAAGGTCAAGGACATCTTCCGTGAAAATCAGCTAGGAGCTATCACGTCACTAGGTTTAAAAATAGCTAAATAATGATCGTTTCACTTGCTTTAAAAAAAACAGTTAAATAATGATGGCTTCGCTAGATTTAAAAATAGCTAAATAATGATCGCTTCGCTAGGTTTAAAATAGTCCTTTTTTCCAATATTTTTTTCAACCAGTCATTTCAATTGTAGCCACTAGATGGAGCTCTAGGATCAATACAGCTGCTGGTTTTCCCGGAAAGGAGAAATTTAAAATAAAAATATTTCCCACAGAAAGTGATAAGATAGCAGAAAACAGCCCTGGGCTGCTTCATCCTCACTCCCACTTTCTCCTCCTTTTGTGTTATCTTCACACCTTGCAAAATCACACTGACTGCATGCATTTTAATCGGCACTGCATTGCCCGTTTTTGCCCCTTCAAACTCTTAATTCCCCAATTTGGTGATCTCTATAGATACAGAAGACTCCAAGTCCCATCATCCCCAGCTAGCATCTCTGCATATCCCGGATGATGGGGTGGGGGGGGGGTCCAATCTATCTTCAAAGCCCCGGGTTCAGCCAAGCTGGTCAAAACATTGAAAGCTAATGCGATATTTGGAATAGCTGACACCACAACAATCTGGAGGTCCCAAAAGGTCCTTTTTCCAGGAGGCAACTGGACTTTCTTGTTAATAATGATGATGATGATGATGATGATGATGATGATGATGATGATAATGCTCTGGGACTTCAGAATTCAAACAGACAAGCACCTGCAACATAACACCCCAGACTTAACAATTGTCGATAAGAAAGACAAAAAAGTCTGGATAGTGGACGTGGCAGTGCCTGGAGACAGCAGAATAGACGAGAAAGAACTGGAGAAGATACAAAATACAAAGACCTACAAATAGAAATAGAAAGACTGTGGCAAAAGCAAGCAAAGGTAGTACCAATAGTAATAGGCTCCTTGGGTGCAATCCCAAAACAACTGGAGCACCACTTGAACACATTGGCATTGACAAATTCGCTATTAGTCAATTGCAAAAGGCGGCCTTACTAGGAACTGCTTCCATCCTGCGACGATACCTGTAATACCATCAAACATCCACATCTGCCTATCCCATGTCCTGGGTAAGGACTCGATAGGTAGACAAAATGCCAAATCCAGTCTGAACATCTGGCTGACTGTGCGATGATCGATAATAATAATAATAATAATAATAATAATAATAATAATAATAATAATAAAGTTGGAAGGGACCTTGGAGGTCATCTAGTCCAACCCCCTGCTCAGGCAGGAAACCCTATATCATTTTGGACAAATGGCTGTCCAGTCTCTTCTTAAAAACTTCCAGTGTTGGAGCATTCACTGCTTCTGGAGGCAGGTTGTTCCACTGGTTAATTGTTCTAACTGTCAGGAAGTTTCTCCTTAGTTCCAGGTTGCTTCTCTCCTTGATTAGTTTCCATCCGTTGCTTCTTGTCCTGCCTTCAGGCGCTTTGGAGAATAGCTTGACTGCCTCTTCTTTGGGGCAGCCCCTGAGATACTGGAACGCTGCTATCATGTCCCCCCTCGTCCTTCTCTCCGTTAAACTAGACACACCCAATAACTTTGAAGATATTTTGCTTCCTATCCCAGAAGCTTCTTCCACTCTGACTGGAGGGTGGGGAAGGGAAGGATTTATACTCCTTGCAGACAGCCGGTCATTTGCATACTGTAAGAGAGTCGTTGAGGCCCCTTGAGATTTACCTGTGTCCTTCGGGATCACCTGAGTGGTGCAAATGGGTGTGGAGCCTTCCTAGCTGCAGGACCTTTTCTGCTCTGGGTCACTTCACCGCTGAAGACAGGCAAAGGCTGTTGGGGATGGGTCTGGGCTGTCTGAATCTTAAACTGAAGCATCAATGGTTCCCGGAGTCTGCAATCTTTTCTGGAAATCCCTTCATGCTTCCGCAACATTGGAAGGGTGTCCATTCCTAAGTGCAGGGCTAAATGTCCATGGAGATTCTCCATCCTCGAGGTCCTGGTTGTCCCAAAGATGCTTTTTCAGGAGGCAACTGGACTGTCTTGTTTTCCTTTGAAGACCTTTCCCTTCTCATTCCAGAAGATTCTTCAGCTCTGACTGGATGGTGGAGAACGGAAGGATTTATACTCCTTGCAGACAGCTGGTCATTTGCAATTCTTTTAGAGAGTTGTTGAGGCCACCTGGAGGCTGACCTGTGTCCTCAGGGTCAGCTGAGTGGTGCAAATGGGTGTTTCTTCGGATGCAAAAAATATCCTACTCAGGGCAGAAAACTTCCTACAACCAAGAAGGCTCCGCACTCATTTGCACTACCTAGGTGACCGTGAGGACACAGACAAACCTCCAAGTGGCCTCAATGACCCTCTAAAAGAAGGCAAATGACCAGCAGTCTGCAAGGAGTATAAATCCTTCCGTTCCCCACCATACAGTCAGAGCTGAAGAAGCTTCTTGGGCGAGAAGTGAAACGTCTTCGAAGAAAAACAAGGAATCCAGTTGCCTCCTGAAAAAAAAGCACCTGCGGGACCTCCAGGAACTGGATGGCTGCCAAGTGCCATAAAGAATGTGGAGGGTATCACACAGAAAGACGGATGGATATGATTGGGAAAAGTTGCTCGTTCAACTAATTTTTCCCTTAGAAGGAGTAAGGAGTAAGCAACCTGGGCTCTTTTATGACTGGTGGACTTCAACTCCCAGAATTCCTGAGCCAGCCACGCTGAGGGGAAAGGGAGAGGTTTCCAAGTTGAGCCAGGCTGGCTCAGGAATTCTGGAGTTGAAGTCCACGAGTCATAAAAGAGCCCAGGTTGCCTACCCCGGCCTAGGGCCTAGGCCGCTTTATGACTGGTGGACTTGGCTCCCAGAATTCCTGAGCCAGCCATACTGAGGGGAAAGGGAGGTTTCCAAGCTGAGCCATGCTGGCTCAGGAATTCTGGGAGTTGAAGTCCACGAGTCATAAAGAGGCCTAGGCCAGGGGTAGGCAACCTTGGCTCTTTTATGACTGGTGGACTTCAACTCCCAGAATTCCTGAGCCAGCCCCGGTGAGGGGAAAGAGAAAGGTTTCCAAGCTGAGCCGAGCTGGCTCAGTAATTCTTGGAGTTGAAGTCCACCAGTCATGAGGAGGCCAAAGTTTCCCTCATGCTGGCTCAGGAATTCTGGGAATTGAAGTCCACGAGTCATGAGCGGCCTAGGCCTAGGCCAGGGTAGGCAACCTTGGCTCTTTTATGACTGGTGGACTTCAACTCCCAGAATTCTGAGCCCGCCATGCTGAGGGGAAAGGGAGAGTTTCCAAGCTCAGCCAGGCTGGCTGAGGAATTCTGGGAGTTGAAGTCCACCAGTCATAAAAGAGCCGAAGTTGCCTACCCCTGCCTTAGGGGAATATCCACCCCTCCCTGCCCCCCCCGGGATGCCCTCCCTCCCCACCAGCCTCACCTGACGCCTTGTAGAGCTCCTTCAGGGTGCCCTGCGGCTGCTCGATCTGATGGACCGTCAGATCCACCGTGCCCCCTCCGCAGTCGGCCACGATGTAGCGGTCCCCTGGCCAGCAAGGAAAAGGCAGCTGAGGCTTTGCTTGCTGAAGACACGGAGGCCCCCCTCAGACGTCTGGGGAAGAGGGGCAGGGAGGGGAAGAGGAAGTGGGGCCCATCGTGTGGGCATGACGTCCCGGGGGGCTTCTTTCAGACACAACGGGCAGCAGACCCCCAAGTAAGGTCAGAGACCCCTTCCACGTTTAACCCAGGGCAAGATTGGTCAGGAGCGGTGTCTGATGTGAGGGGTCTTTGGTTCCCTCTGAGCTGGGTGGTGTGCTTGCAGACGTTACCTTACCCAGCTAGGTAACGTCATCAGGGCTAGAAGGGAGTTGGATGTGCAGGGAGAAGAGGGAGGGGAGGACTGTGGGGTCTTTGGTGGTCTCCGAACTGGGTGGTTTTCTTGCCGACGTCTCAGGACCCAACTAGGCAACCTCGTCAGTGCTAGAAGGGAGTGAGGTTGGGGAGGAGGACTGTGGGGTCCTTGGTGCCCTCTGAGCTGAGTGGTTTCCTTGCAGACATTTCATGACCCAACTAGGGAACACCGTCAGTGTGGTGAGGGAGAGTGGTGAGGGAGGAGGAGGAGGAGAAGGAGAGGAAGAAGGAGGAAGAGAAGGAGAGGAAGAAGGAAGAGGAGAAGGAGAGGAAGGAGGAAGAGAAGGAGGAGGAGAGGAAGAAGAGGAGGATAGGAAGAAGGAGGAAGAGGAGAAGGAAGAAGGAGGAAGAGGAGGAGGACGGGGAAGAGGAGGAGGAGGAGGAGGAGAGGAAGAAGAAGAGGAGAGGAAGAAGTAGGAAGAGGAGGAGGAGAGGAAGAAGGAGGAGGAGGAGGGGAAGGAGGAAGAGGAGGAGAGGAAGAGGAGAAGGAGAGGAAGAAGGAGGTAGAGGAGGAGAGGAAGAAGGAGGAAGAGGAGAAGGAGAGGAAGAAGGAGGTAGAGGAGGAGAGGAAGAAGGAGGAAGAGGAGAAGGAGAGGAAGAAGGAGGAAGAGGAGAAGGAGAGGAAGAAGGAGGTAGAGGAGGAGAGGAAGAAGGAGGAAGAGGAGAAGGAGAGGAAGAAGGAGGTAGAGGAGGAGGAGGAAGAAGGAGGAAGAGGAGGAGGAGGAGGAGGAGGAGGAGGAAAATGCCTCCTCCAGTCTGGAGCACTCTGGATATGGCAGACCGAGTCTAATCATCTCCAGCATTGGGCTGAAGGGGTTGTATATGCAGGGAGTCCTTGTTTTACGGCTGTTCTTTTAGCGACCGGAGTTGCAACGGCGCTGGCAAAAATGACTTACGACCGTTTCCCCCGCTTACGACCGTTGCCCCACCCTCCGTGGTCACATGATCGAAACCCAGAGGCTCGGCAACTGGCATGTAGTTAGGACGGTTGCAGGCTCCCGGGGTCACGTGATCCCCTTCTGCCACCTTCCAATCGAGGGAAGCCGGATTCAAACAACGGCCGTGTGTCAAACTTTAACGTCGCAACGATTCGCGAGAGAGGCCGTGGGAAAAGGGGCAAGACTCACTTAGTGACGGTCTCGCTTAGTGGCAGAAAAATTGGACCCCCCAGTGGTTGGCCGTAAGTCAAGGAGGACCTGCACGGGGTGGGGAGAGGAGGGGAGTCCAGAAAGCAAATTGGGTAGGGGTCATATTGAGCCCCTCCCCCCAATCCCCTCTTCCCTTCCTCTTCCTGCCCCTTCTTGGGGGGACAGCTTGTCTGCCAGCGATCCACTCTCTGGCTTTCGAGTCCCCGGGCCAGTGGGACGGTTTGGGACTCCCGTGCCCAGCCTCCCCAGCCAGCCTTCCCCGGAGACCCCCCCCTACCTGTCTGCATTTCCGACCACAGTTCGCCCACCCCAGACTCGATCAGGAAAGTCCGGCTGTGCCTGGACCGTCGGAGCTGCTCCCGGGCTGCAGGAGGAGAGAGAGGGCAGAGGGTGAGATGGGGGTCCCTGCCTCGGGGGGGGGGGGGGCGAAGGGCCAGGAGGAAGGAGCTGCCCCGAGCGATTCGGAGGGGGGGGGGTCCTCCTTGCTTCCCTGCATCGGACACACAGGGGAGGCGTTCCGATGACGGGAGGAGCTTAGCTGGTTTGGGTGGTGAAAGGCTGGAAGGAAACGACCCAGCTCATAGAGGAGCAAGGATTTCCCCCCTCCCCCTCCTCTCCACAAACCCCCTCCTCTCCTAGCCCTGATGGTGTTCCCTAGTTTGGTCATGAAACGTCTGCAAGGAAACCACCCAGCTCAGAGAGCACCAAGGACCCCACAGTCTGTCCTTCCTTCCTTCCTTCCTTCCTTCCTTCCTTCCTTCCTTCCTTCCTTCCTTCCTTCCTTCCTTCCTTCCTTCCTTCCTTCCTTCATTTCTTCCTCCTCCCTCCTAGCACTGATGATGTTCCCTAGTTGGGTCATGAAACGTCTGCAAAAAAAACCACCAAGCTCAGAGAGCACCTAGGGCCCCACAGTCCTCCTCCTCCTCCCCCTCCCTCTCCTCCTCCTCCTCCTCCTCCTCCTCCTCCCTTCTAGCACTGACGATGTTACCTAGTTGGGTTATGAAATGTCTGCAAGGAAACCACCCAGCTCAGAGAGCACCAAAGACCCCACAGTCTTGTCCTTCCTCCCTCCCTCCCTCCCTCCCTCCCTCCCTCCCTCCCTCTTCCTCCTCCCTTCTAGCATTGATGGTGATCCCTAGTTGGGTAATGAAACGTCTGCAAGAAAACCTCTAAGCTCAGAGAGCACCAAGGACCCCACAGTCATCGTCATCGTCCTCCTCTTCCTCCTCCTCCTCCTCCTCCCTTCTAGCACTGACAATATCCCCTCGTTGGGTCATGAAACGTCTGCAAGGAGACCACCCAGCTCAGAGGGCATCGGGGACCCGCTCACTTCCCCCCTGAGCTGCTGAGGTCCTCCTTCCCCTCTCTTGCCCCTCGTCCTGCCCCCCTGCCTGGGCCCTTCGGCTTGGCCGTGCCCCCCCCCCCCGACCGTCTCCCACCTACCCTGCCTGAAGCTGGAGTCGATGGGCCGGTCGGAGGGTCGCCCGTTCGCCTGGGGTCTGTAGCTGAGGTCGATCAGTTGGTTGAGGCGAAGCTTCCGGCAGTAGATGGAGGCGGCCTCGGGCTCCAGAGCAATCAGCAGCTGCTCCGGGTTCTCCAAAGACACCAGCCCTGCCTGATGGGAAGCAAAGAGGGGAGGGGTCCTTTCGTTAGCCAGAAGGGACCCCCACCCTGCAGAGCACACATCCGGGGGGGGGCACCAGGTTGGAGAAAGCTCAAGGGGACCCCCCAACTTCTGCTGGGGAGAAACGCTGGCCCCCACCCCTTAAAGCAGCAGAGGGATTCCCCCGGGGAAAAAAAAAGAGGGCCAGGGGATTCTGGGAGTTGAAGTCCACGTGTCCTAAAGCTCCTAAGGTTGAAAATTGGAATTATCTTTAGGGCAGTGTTTCTCAACCTTGACCATTTTAAGGCATGTGGACTTCAACTCCCAGAATTCCACAGCCAGCATTGCTGGCTGTGGAATTCTGGGAGTTGAAGTCCACATGCCTTAAAATGGTCAAGGTTGAGAAACACTGCTTTAGGGGATCTTCTCCCCTTCCTCTCTCTTCCCTGGCACCTTCCCCCCAAAAAATGCGTTATCCCCACAACATTTTAACTTCAGGGCTGCCCAAATGAATCGTGGGAGCCGAAATGGACCCAGCAGAGATGCGTGATAGAATCCCGCCCGACCCCTCGGGGGCTCCTTCCCATCCAGAGAGCTACGGTAAAAGAAAGCGGTTGGGGGCTTTTGACAACAAGGTGAGGCTCCTTTGTAGGGTTTCTTTTCCCCCCTTACGGGGGTCTCCTTATGGGGGTTCTCCCTGCCCCTTTCTGGGAAGGGAGGGGAACAAAAGGTAGGTTTCCACCCGGGGTGGGACTTTGCCACTTTGCAGATGGCGAGATGGGTGGCATGAAAGAAAGAAAAGAAGAAAAAAAGAAAGAAAAAGAAAGAAGAAAGAAAGAAAAAGAAAGAAAGAAAAGAAAGAAAGAAAGAAAGAAAGAAGAAGAAAGGAAAGAAAGAAGAAAGAAAGAGAGAGAGAGAGAAAGAAAGAAAGAAAGAAAGAAAGAAAGAAAGAAAGAGAAAGAAAGAAAGAAAAAGAAAGAAAGAAAGAAAAGAAAGAAAGAGAAAGAAAGAAAGAAAGAAGGAAAGAAAAGAAAGAAAGAAAAGAAAGAAAGAAAGAAAGAAAGAAAGGAAAGAGAAGAAAGAAAAGAAAGAAAAGAGAGAGAGAGAGAAAGAAAGAAAAGAGAGAGAAAGAAAGAAAGAAAGAGAAAGAGAGAGAGAAAGAAAGAAAGAGAGAGAGAAAGAAAGAAAGAAAAGAAAGAAAGAAAGAAAAGAAAGAAAGAAAGAAAGAAAAGAGAGAGAGAAAGAGAGGGAAACCCGGCCCTCACCAAATAGGCCGCTTCCCTCATGAACTGCTTGGCCGGCTGCTTCCAAATGGCGGGCACCGTGATCACCCACCGGATGGCATCGGCCACCGGCAAGGCCGGGCACTGGTCCTTCAGCTCCTGCAAGAGAGGAGGGTCAAAGGGCCTGGAGGAAATCTATCCCAACAGGGATGCTGGCTGGGGATTCTGGGAGCTCAAGTCCACCAAGCGGCCATCTTTGGAGACCCCCCGATTAACAATAAAGAGACAACTTCGATCTCCTCACAGAGTCCTTCTGGAAGGTTCTCTCTCTTCCTCTCCCTCCTTCTCTCCCTCCCTCCCTCCCTCTTTCCTTCCTTCATTCTTCCCTTCCCTCCCTCCCTTCCTTCCTCCTTCCCTCCTTCCTTCCCTTCTTCTTTCCTTCCTTCTTTCCTTCCTTCCTTTCTTCCTCCCTCCCTCCCTCCCTCCCTCCCTTCCTTCCTCCTTCCCTCCTCCCTCCCTCCTTTTCTCCCTTCCTTTCCTCCCTCCCTCCTTCCTTCCTTCCTTCCTCCCTCCCTCCCTTCCTTCTTTCCTTCCCTCCTCCTTCCCTCCCTTTTTTCTCCCTTTCCTCTTACCTCCTTCCTTCCTTCCTTCCTTCCTTCCTCCCTTTTCCTTCCTTCCTTCCCTCCTTCCTTTCCTCCCTTCCTCCCTCCCTTCCTTTCATCCTTCTTTCCCCCCTTCCTTCTTTCCTTCCTTCCTTCCTTCCTCCTCCTTCCTCCTCCTCCTTCCCTTCCTTCCTCCCTCCCTCTTCCTTCCTTGTCCCTCCCTCCTTCCTCCTTCCCTTCCTTCTCCCTCCTTCCTGTCCCTCCTCCATCCCTCCCTCCCTCCTTCCTTCCTTCCTTCCCTTCCCTCAGGTGACGTCTTCCCCCCCCCCAACCCCTGGAGAAGCAGGGAGGTCTCCCCCCTCCCTCGCTCACCTGCACGGCCTGCTGCCTGAAGAAGCGGAGGGCGTGGGCAAAGACCTCCAAGGCTGGCACCTTCTTCCCGTTCACGGCCCCCAGTTCGGTCTTCATGCTCAAATCCTGACATAAAAGAGGACCACCAAAAAGACTTTCAGGCCGGGCAGAAAACCGGTCAGACAGGTGACCTTGACGGAGACATGTAGGAACCCTTCAGAGGCAGCCCTCCACTTACCACCACGGCATTGCTAGAGAGAGAGAGAGAGAGAGAGAGAGAGAGAGAGAGAGAGAGAGAGCGCTGTTGTTTTGCCCCATTTTACTCACTCGGGAACTGTGGATCTTCATTTTGAACTTCTCAAAGTAGAGCCAGTCGCGGGCTTCCTCCGGGTCCAGATCGTGGTAACAGTCCCGGGCCGTGTAGCCAAAGCTGTGGAAGGCGCCTTCCGGCGTCAAGAGAAGGCTGGTGGGGGTCTTCTGGTGGGCCACTCCGGGGTCTCCTCCTTCCCATTTCCTGCCAGGAAAAAAAATCCAAAGTGGGATTTTTGTGGCCTGCAAGTCAGGGGGGGGGGGCTCGACTTGGAAGTTTGTCTGGTACCCGCCCCCCAAAAAATTTTGTCCGAAGGAATTTCATATTGAGAAAGCGGGCCCCTAGCTGTGTCTCTCCAATCTTGGCCCCTTTAAGAAGAGCTGTGGACTTCAACTCCCAGAATTCCCCAGCCAGCCGTGCAGAGTTCGATAAGGGTCATTTTGCTCATTTGTGGCGATGCAAGGATTCCAGGCTGAGCCCTCTTTTAACTCCACCCTCTGACTCGGCCGGTCCTTCTCCTACGATCACTCTGTGGAAGATTCGGCAAAATGTATTATTGTTTCATGATGGAGAGAAAATGAAATAGGATTCAAACACGATCGTTTTTTAAAATTAATTTATCGCCTCTTCCCACGGGAGGGAAAAGAGAAGAATTTAACAGCTGATTTCCTTTGATGACTTTTTCTATTTTTTTATTTATGCAGTGAATTTTTATAAAGCGACAGCTCAGAACACCCAGGCCTTGGTTGTTTTTTTTTTAAAAGAGATTCCCGTGTTGCTTTCGAGGCCATCTTATTTGTTCATTCAAAATGCCCAAATCCTCTGGTTTTTGCTAAAAGGGAGGCTATTATGAAATGATATAGAACTTAATATTGAAGTATAGTAAGAATATGTGTTTTTTGTTTGTTTTTTCTTTTTTGTGTTTTTCTTTTTTGGAACAAGATGGAATTAATAATTGGAGAATTATTGAAAAAGAATAGAAATATAGCTGAGAAATGTAAGAACTTAGTTTTGGAGCTAATGTGTTTAAATAAGAGAAATTTGGGGTCCCTGAATAGTAAAATAAATAGGTTAGTTTAAATTTAAATATTTGAAAAATTAATAAAGTTTAAAACAGGATCTTTGGGATAGATAAGGAGCTTTTGCAAATTTTTATTGATTAATGAAATTCATATTCAGTGATATATTTAATGGAAATTTGTTAGAAATGTATTAATGAGATTACAATAATTTAAACAGATAGAGAGCGTTAGTTTTGATTTAAGCATTTAATTTATATATAGCGATATATTAATGAGTGAATTGGTTATAGGATTGTATTAATTTGATTATTATATTGATATTGAGTGGTTGAAAGTTCCTATTGATTAAGGAAACTTATATTTAGATATATTAATGAATGAATTTATTTGAATCTATTTGATTATAATATTCTACATAGATAGAGAGGGAAATTTTAGGAAACATTGTGTGAATTGTATATTTATAATGTTATTGTTTCTTTTGTAATTGACCACCATATCTCCACGCTGGCTCTTAAGCTTCTGTTGGTGTAAAATGGAAAACCAATAAAAATTGTTTATAAAAAAATTTTTTTTAAATGCCCAAATCCTGCTCTTCCTCCCTCATCCAATGGAAACAGAGCTTCCAGGGACTAAACTCCAGAAGCAGTAAATGCTCCAACACTGGAAGTTTTAAAGAAGAGACTGGATAACCATTTGTCCGAAATGGTGTAGGGTTTCCTGCCTGAGCAGGGGGTTGGACTAGATGACCTCCAAGGTCCCTTCCAACTTTACTACTATTACTATTACTCCAAAATCATCAGTTAGGCAGGGAGATGGGTGCAATCTCTTGCAAATGCCTGGAGGGTGAGAGTTCCCTTCCTTCCCACAGGACTTCTGCCTAAAAGAGAGGATCGTGAAAAAACAAATATTCTCTGTTCATTCATGCGGGGAATATCCAGAGACCGTATGCCAGCGATTGTGGCGGAGATCTGAAGAATAAAGGTCTCTCTGTGTTTAGGTGTGTATGTGAGAAATAGAGAGAAAGAAAGAAAGAAAGAAACAGAGAAAGAAAGAAAAAGAAGAAGAAAGTGAAAGAGAAAGAAACAGAGAAAGAAAGAGAGGGAGAAAGAGGCAAAGAGAGAGAAAGAAAAAGAGAGAGAAACAAAGAGAAAAAGAGGCAGAAAGGGAATGAGAAAGAAAGAGAAAGAGCAAAAGAGACAAAGAAAGAGAGAAAGGAGAAAGAAAGAAGGAAAGAGGGAAAGAGGGAAAAAGAAAAGAGAAAAAGAGGAGAGAAAGAGAGCAAAAGAGAGACAAGAAAGAGAGAAAGGAGAAAAGAGAAAGAAAAAGAGAGAAAGAAAAACGAGAAAGGGAAAGAGAGAAAGAGGGAAAGAGACAGAAAGAAACAGAAAGAGGGAAAGAGAGAAAGAGAAAGAAAGATTCAGAGAGCAAAAGAGAGGCAGAAAGAGAAAGAAAGAAAGAAAGAGCAAAAGAGAGACAAAGAAAGAGAGAAAGGAGAGAAAGAGAAAAAAGAAAGAGGGAGAGAAAGAAAGAGGGAGAGAAAGAAAAAGAGAAAGAAAGACAAACAGAGAGAAAGAGAGGCAGAAAGGGGAGAGAGGGAGAGAGATGGAGAGAAAAAGAGAGAAAGAGAAAAAAGAGAGAAAGAGGGAAAGAAAGAAAAAGGAAGAAAGAAAGAAAGAAAGACAAGCAGAGAGAGAGAGAAAGGGGAGAGGGAGAGAGAGGGAGAGAAAAAGAGAGAAAGAAAAAAGATAGAGAAAGGGAGAGAGAGAAAGAAAGAGGGAAAGAAAGAAAAAGGTAGAGAAACAAAGTGTGTGTGTGTGAGAGAGAGAGAGAGAGCGAAGAGAAAAAGGGAGGAAGAGAGACCCTGCCTTCAACCCCAGAGGGTACCTCATCATGTGCAGGGTCTCTGGATCGCTCACGAAGCTGAAGGCGTAGCCGCTGGATGTGGTCCCGAAGTCAATGGCCACCACCACGCCGAAGGGAGCCGCCTCTCGCCTCCGGATCTCACTCCTCTGCAACACACAGGCCAGGATGCAGAGGACCCCCGGGGGCCGCCTCCGGCCCCCGGCCCCAGGGGCCCCAGTCTTGGTCCTAGAGCAGGGCGTCTAACCGGGGCCACTTTTCAGACGGGTGGACTTCAGTTCCCAGAATCCCCCAGCCAGCACAGCTCCGGGCTTCAGCGCCACTTGGCAAACCCACCCAGCACCCGTCTTACCCCCTACTTGGCGGGGGGGGGGGCTTCAACCAGATTTGAGGGAGGGGACAAGGCTTCTGCTTACCGGCGACTGAGATGGGGTGAGGGGCGCAATGCTGCAGCTGTCGCTGTGGAGCCCGGGAGAACTGGGCGGAGACGGGGTACGGGACCGCTCCCCATTTGTCCCTGGCGAAGAAGAAGGGAAGGGAAGAGGGGGCCTTCGAAACAGTCTTTCTCATGGGAGAGAAGGATGGAAAGATTTGTACTCCTTGCAGACAGCTGGTCATTTGCCTTCTTTTAGAAAGTGGTTGAGGCCACTTGGAGGGTTATCTTTGTCTTCGGGGTCACCTGAGTGGGGCAAACGGGTGTGGAGCCTTCTTGGCATCCTTTCAACCCTTCCAAGAAGGCTTCACACCCATTTGCACCACCCAGGTGACCCGAGGACACAGGTAAACCTCCAAGTGGCCTCAACGACTCTCTAAAAAGAAGCAAATGACCAGCTGTCTGCAAGGAGTATAAATCCTTCCATTCCCCACCATCCAGTCAGAGCTGAAGAAGCATCTGGGATGGGAAGCGAAACGTCTTCAAAGAAAAACAAGAAAAGTCCAGTTGTCTCCTGGAAAAAGTACCTTTTTGATCTGGGTGATGGAGAATCTCCATAGGCAACAGAGTTGGAAGGGACCTTGGAGGTCTTCTAGTCCAACCCTAGTCGCCCAGTTGAGGAGACATCTCATTAGACAACCGGGACTGGATTCTTCTCTACCACCACCCCCCCCCCCACTTTGGGGAAGGAGACCCCTCTATCTTTTTCTTTCCAAGATTCAAGCAGTCCTCAATTTACCACCATCCCTTTTAGTGACCGTTCAAAGTTACGACAGCATTGCAAAAAAAGCCACTTGGGCGCCTTTTTCCACGCCGGACACTCGTCGCAGGGCGAAAAACTCGAAACTGAAACATTTGGCGAACGACTCGTCTTTATGACGGTTGCATGATCCTCCTTTTGTGACCTTCCCCGCTGGAAGGTTCTCCCCCCTGCCGCCCCCCACCCGTAGACTAGCACAGCTCCCCCCGGATCGGATTAAAAGCGTCCAGCCAATTTTGTCCAAAGAACCACACTTGAAAACCCGCAGGGACATCGTCAGAATGGGCCTCAACCCAAACAAGAGGCAGACAGATTTAATGCTGGAAAGCGTGAAACGCCAGAAGGCTGGTCTTGCCCACGCAGGCAGGGTGGGATGGCCGGTGGAGGCACTCCATATGGTTCCCATTAAGGAGTCCGGCTAATTGCTTCCTCTCCCCCCCCCCCCAGGCTCAATCTCCACCTCGGAGCAGCAGGGACAGTTCCTGGCTGACAGGCCCCAGCTGCGGTTCAGGATGGACAGAGAGGCCCATTCCCATGTTATGGCCGACCTGGTGACGCCCGGTGATCCTGGGAGGAGAACCAGGACTCAGATGGGGAGTCTCCCCCCCCCCAGGGGGACTTTGCTGGGGTCACCATGCATATATAAGGAGCGGTTGCTGGAATTGGGTATGTCTAGTTTAATGAAGAGAAGGACGAGGGGGGACAGGATAGCAGTCTTCCAGTATCTCAGGGGCTGCCCCAAAGAAGAGGCAGTCAAGCTATTCTCCAAGGCGCCTGAAGGCAGGACAAGAAGCAATGGGTGGAAACTCATCAAAGAGAGAAGCAACCTGGAACTAAGGAGAAACTTCCTGACAGGGAGGACAATTAACCAATGGAACCACCTGCCTCCAGAAGCGGTGAATGCGCCAACACTGGAAGTTTTTAAGAAGAGACTGGACAGCCATTTGTCCGAAATGATATAGGGTTTCCTGTCTGAGCAGGGGGTTGGACTAGATGACCTCCAAGGTGCCTTCCAATTATTATTATTATTATCGATCATCGCACAGTCAGCCAGATGTTCAGACTGGATTTGGCATTTTGTCTACCTATCGAGTCCTTACCCAGGACCTGGGATAGGCAGATGTTTGATGGTATTATAGATATCGTCGCAGGATGGAAGCAGTTCCTAATAAGGCTGCTTTTTGCAATTGACTAATAGCGAATTTGTCCTCTTCTTGTTGGACTTGATCTGTAGTAACAGATCATTATTTCTTTGTTTTCCATCACTGTGTATCTGCGACGGGTAAACACCTTTTCTTCCAGTAGTTCTGCAGCTGCTGGCCCTGGTTGCTCAGCCAACAGTCCTGAGTCCTGTAACCCATTTTTCACCAGATATCCAGGAACTCCAATATCTAGTGCGGACCTTGTTAACCCGGGCGACGTCCGAGCCGGTATGGCATTCTGCAATTTACGTCTCACCATATTTTTTATGGGAGAGACACTCTTTGTCTGACTCCTCTGATGAGACCTGTCCAGTATGGTTGAACCTCTGGCATAGCTCTCATCTTCCTCAGAGTACACAAGCCCCACAACCACGTCAAGGTAGTGCCTCACTGGGGGATTATTATTATTATTATTATTATTATTATTATTATTATTGATCATCGCACAGTCAGCCAGATGTTCAGACTGGATTTGGCATTTTGTCTACCTATCGAGTCCTTACCCAGGACCTGGGATAGGCAGATGTGGATGTTTGATGGTATTACAGATATCGTCGCAGGATGGAAGCAGTTCCTAGTAAGGCCGCCTTTTGCAATTGACTAATAGCGCATTTGTCAATGCCAATGGTGTTCAAGTGGTGCTCCAGTTGTTTTGGGATTGCACCCAAGGAGCCTATGACTATTGGTACTACCCTTGCTTGCCTTTGCCACAGTCTTTCTATTTCTATTTGTAGGTCTTTGTATTTTGTTATCTTCTCCATTCTTCTCGTCTCTTCTGCTGTCTCCAGGCACTGCCACGTCCACTATCCAGACTTTTTGTCTTTCTTATCGACAATTGTTAAGTCTGGGGTGTTATGTTGCAGGTGCTTGTCTGTTCGAATTCTGAAGTCCCAGAGCAGTTTAATTTTATCATTTTCTATGACTTTCTCTATTTTATGATCCCACCAGTTTTTGCTTACAGGCAAATGATATTTTTTGCAGATCTTCCAATGCACCATTGTTGCTACTTTGTCATGCCGCTGCTTGTAGTCAGTCTGTGCAATCTTCTTGCAACAGCTTACCAAGTGGTCCACTGTTTCTTCAGCTTCTTTGCATAGGCGGCACTTACTGTCTGTTGCTGTCTTCTCAATTTTGACTTTGTATGCATTTGTCCTTAAGGCTTGGTCTTGTGCAGCCAGAATTAATCCCTCGGTCTCTTTCTTCATTTTCCTGCTCTTAGCCATTGCCAGGTCTTGTTATTATCTGCTTTCCCAGCTATTTTTTTCATGTATTGGCCGTGTAGTTCTTTGTCTTCCCATGCCTCTATTCTGTTCTTCATTTGGTCTTTCTTGTAGGCCAGTTTGGTCTCTCCAGTAGTTAGTAAGCCTTCCTGATATACTAATTTCAGTGCATCTTCATCATTGTTCCTCAGATATTCTTCCAAAGCCATTTTTTCTTCTTCAACCATCTGATGTACTTGTAGCATTCATTATTGTTATTATTATTATTATTTAGACACAATTCCGATTGATTGGGGCAGAGCCAAGATCTGGGGAGCAAATGATCCTCTACATATTGGGGGGGGGGGTCGTCCATCTTGGCTACAACAAGGTGGCTGGCCTGAGCAGCATCCCAACTCCCTTCCTGGGAAGCCCCTGACCCTGAGTCCAGCATTCTCCAAGAGACCCTCACAGTGCCCCCCCCATCCAGGATCAAACTGGGGACGTTGCATTTTTTTTCCTTACCAATTTGCAGCGTATGCATTGTGGGAACCGCAAGGGTTGTGGACATCTTCGCATCACACTCGTGCCTGAAAAACAGGGAGAACATATCAATCAGAATACAGCTGGAAGGGGCCTTGGAGGTCTTCTAGTCCAACCCCCTGCTCAAGCAGGAGACCTTATATCAAGGGTCTCCAACCTTGGCCACTTTAAGGCCTATGGACTTCAACTCCCAGAATTCCTGAGCCATCATGGGGATCTGTGGCCTCTTTATGACGTAGACTTCAACTCCCAGAATTCCTGAGCCAGCCATGCTGAGGGGAAAGGGAGAGGTTTCCAAGCTGAGCCGTGCTGGCTGAAAAATTCTGGGAGTCGAAGTCCACCAGTCATAAAGCGGCCTAGGCCTAGGCCAGGGGTAGGCAACCTTGGCTCTTTTATGATTGGCGGACTTCAACTCCCAGAATTCCTGAGCCAGCATGGCTCAGCTTGGAAACCTCTCCCTTTCCCCTCAGCATGGCTGGCTCAGGAATTCTGGGAGTTGAAGTCCACAAGTCATAAAAGAGCCAAGGTTGCCCACCTCTGGCCTAGGCCTAGGCCGCTTTATGACTCATGGACTTCAACTCCCAGAATTCCTGAGCCAGCATGGCTCAGCTTGGAAACCTCTCCCTTTCCCCTCAGCATGGCTGGCTCAGGAGTTCTGGGAGTTGAAGGCCACGAGTCATAAAAGAGCCAAGATTGCCTACCCCTGGCCTAGGCCTAGGCCGCTTTATGACTGGTGGACTTGAACTCCCAGAATTCCTCAGCCAGCATGGCTCAGCTTAGAAACCTCTCCCTTCCCCTCAGCATGGCTGGCTCAGGAATTCTGGGAGTTGAAGTCCACGAGTCATAAAAGAGGCAAGGTTGCCTACCTCTGGCCTAGGCCTAGGCCGCTTTCTGAGTCGTGGACCTCAACTCCCAGAATTCCTGAGCCAGCCACGCTGAGGGGAAAGGGAGAGGTTTCCAAGCTGAGCCCTGCTGGCTCAGGAATTCTGGGAGTTGAAGTCCACCAGTCATAAAAGAGCCAAAGTTGCCCACCCCTGGCCTAGAATAACAAAGAGAAATATCCTAAATGGATTGACACCGAAGACACGACTGCACACGTGAAACAAAACAAAATATTTAAGTGTGCAACTTGTCTCTATTTGTGCTGCAGGGTGACCAGCGTCACCTCCCCCATTTTAATCTCTGCCCTTCAGCAGTTGTCATTTTAATTCTTTTTTTCTCCTCTGCTTTGGTATGTGTTTTGAGCTGCTTCTCGTAGGGAGGCCCCAGAACAGCTATTTCCGACCACAAACACAATTCTGGAGATCACAATCGCACAAATGTTTTGACGGTACCTGTTGGTTACCTCCCTCTGTCTTTTTCCATCCATGAAACAAAGAGGGGCAAAAAAGAAGGATATTTGTTTGCTATTTGTGGTTTTTCCAGGCAGGGACTTCTTAAACAGAAATAAATCCAAATGGGTTCACTTCCAGATGGATTTATAATATTTCCACTTCAGAACTGATTTGCCCCAAATTACGGGTGGTCCTTGACTTACAAAAGTTCATTTAGCGACCGTCCAAAGTTAGAGCAGCACTGAAGAAACTGACTTAGGATCATTTTTCACACTTACGACCTTTTTTATCATTACTATTTTATTTTATTATTTTTACTTTATTGTTTTATTTTATTTTTTAAAGTTTATTAAACTTCAATGCTGCCCATCTCACAGCAACTCTGGGAGGCTGATAATACAGGTGGTCCTCAACCTACAACAGTTCGTTTGGCGGCCGCTCAAAGTTACGACGGCATTGAAAAAAAGCAATTTACGGCCGTTTTTCACACAACCTTTGCAGCATCCCCCTCCCACGGTCATGTGATCAAAATTCAGACACTCGGCCACTGACTCATACTTATGACGGCTGCTGTGTCCCAGGAGGATCATGCGATCCTCTTTTGAGATCTTCCCACCTGCAAAGTCAACGGGGGGGGGAGCTGGATTCACTTAACGACCGTGTGACTAATTGAGCCCTTGCAGTGATTCACTTAACAACTGAGGCGAGGAAGGTCGTAAAATGGGGCCAAACTCGCTGAACAAATGTTTCATTTAACAGCAGAAAATATTGGGCGACTGCCGGTACACAATTATCTTGGTTTTCAGCTTTTCTCTTCCCTTTTTTAAAATTGTTATTGTTTTTTAACCCTTTGGTTTTTTTTACTTTTTACTCTACAGGTGGTCCTCGGCTTACGACCACAACGGAGCCCAACATGTCTGTTTTTAAGTGAGACATTTGTTGAGTGAGTGTTGCCCCATTTTATGACCTTTCTTGTCACTGTTATTAAGTGAATCACCACAGCTGATAAGTTAATAACACGGTCGTTAAATGAATCCGGCTTCCCCCACTGACTTTGCTCGCCAGGAGGTCACAAAAGGGGACCACATGACCCCCGAGACATGGCAACTGCCATAAGTATGAGTCAGTGGCCAAGCGTCTGAATTTTGATCACGTGACCATGGGGAGGGGATGCTGCAAAGGTTGTAAGTGTGAAAAACGGCTGTAAATTGCTTTTTTTCAATGCCGTTGTAACTTTGAGCGGCTGCTAAATGATCTGTCATAAGTTGAGGACCACCTGTATTATCAGCCTCCCAGAGTTGCTGTGAGACGGGCAGCACAGAAATTTAATAAACTTTAAAAAAAGAATTAAAAAAATAAAGTAAAAATAAAATAAAATAGTAATAATAAAATAAAATAGCAATAATAAAATAAAAAATAAAATAAAAAATAATAAAATAATATAATAAAAGAGTCATAATAAAATAAAATAGTAATAAGTAAAATAAAAAAAAATAGTCATAAAATGTCTAGTTTAATGAAGAGAAGGACGAGGGGGGACATGATAGCAGCCTTCCAGTATCTCAGGGGCTGCCCCAAAGAAGAGGGAGTCAAGCTCTTCTCCAAAGCGTCTGAAGGCAAGACAAGAAGCAACGGATGGAAACCAATCAAGGAGAGAAGCAACCTAGAACTAAGGAGAAACTTCCTGACAGTGAGAACAATCAACCAGTGGAACAACCTGCCTCCAGAAGCAGTGAATGCTCCAACACTGGAAGTTTTTAAGAAGAGACTGGATGGCCATTTGTCTGAAATGGTATAGGGTTTCCTGCCTGAGCAGGGGGTTGGACTAGATGACCTCCCAGGTCCCTTCCAAAGTTGTTGTTGTTGTTGTTATAATAAAATAAAGTAAAATAAAATAATAATAAAATAACATAGTCATAATAAAATAAAATAGCAATGTAAAATAAAATCAAATAAAAAATAAAATAAAAAATAATACAATAAAATAGTCATAATAAAACAAAATAGTCATAAGTAAAATAAAATAAAAAATAAAACAATAGTCATAATAAAGTAAAATAAAATAATAATAAAATAAAATAGTCATAATAAAATCAAATAAAAAATAAAATAAAATAGTCATAATAAATAAAATAAAGTAAAATAAAATAGTCATAATAAAATAAAATAAAAAATAAAATAAAATAATACAATACAATACAATAGTAATAATAAAACAAAATAGTCATAATAAGCAAAATAAAATAAAAATAAATAAAATACAATAAAAATAGTAATAATAAATAAAATAATAAGATATAATAAGATAAAATAAAATAAAACAATTTGATTTCGGATTCAAGGATCAGCCTTTGTGTCTTGTCCAGAATTGACCTTTGTGCTCTGATGTTTGCAAACCAAACCTCACCCTTTCTTAGTAAGTGCACGAGAAATCAAGGCAGACTTCTCTTCTTATAAAACCCACCAGCCTCTCTCCTTTCCCTGCATTGGGCAAAAGAGAAAAGCATCACACTCATTAATTAAGAGCAGCTTTAATCTCAGGGACCCCCGAGTGCCAGCTGAACACTCACAGAAGCCCCGTTATTGCTACGAAAGTGCCCAGTGCTGGCTGGGGCATCGCACGGCTGGGGAAACCAAGTCACACCTTATTTGAAGGCAGACAGCTCCTAAGCCGGAAACCCAGAGCGGAAAACCTTTTTTGAAATCCAGATTTTCCGGTGCAGAGTTTCCATAATTAAGCCACTCTCTGAATAAAGAGGCAGGAAGGGATGGGCAGGGCAGGGCAGGGTGGGGAAGGACGGGAAATGAGAGCAGACAGGAGGACAGCCCAAAGGGAGGACAGAAGCAGAATAACAGAGCGAGAAGGGACCTTGGAGGTCTTCTAGTCCAACCCCCTGCTGGAACAGGAGAACCGTTTACCATGCCGAAGAAAGGATTGAGAAGGGACTGGAAGACATGCAGAAGAATGAGGTGGCTGGACGGAGACCCTGAAGCAGGAGGCGTGAGCTTCAATGGACTCCAGAAGATGGTAGAGGACAGGAAGGCCTGGAGGAACGTGGTCCATGGGGTCGCGATGGGTCGAACACGACTTCGCAACTAACAACAAGTCCAGTCACCACCCTAGCCTTGCGGTGTTCAATTCACAACTCAATTCACAACTCAAGGGACGGAGGAAGCACACGCAAGCGTACAACTCTGAGTGTCCTTCTCTGGCTAGCTTTGCTCCTTCCTCCCCTGACCTTGGGGCAGCCTTCTCCCACACTTCTACAAATGAAAAGTCAAGGTATTTGACTTGCCACCGTGATGTCAAGGGGCAAATGCAAACTTATTTTGTATTTTCAGCCTGAGAGATCAAAGTGTCCTGCCGCAGGAGAAAAAGTTAGGTTGATTTAAACCACATGGTGCACCCAAGACCCTCTTCCTCACCCGTAGCCCTGGAGGGGACCCCACGGTTTTGAATGTGAGGACTCTCGGTCATGAATATTTATTTTCGTAGCTATTTTTCCACATCCAAAGGGCTCGTTTCTACACACACACACACACATACACACACACACTCTTCCCAACCTCTCTAAGAAACTGACTGGGCAGCCGATAAGATTTTGCAACAAGGCTGCAGAAGGAGAGGGTGAAACTTTTATGGAGCAGGCAGGGTTCCTTGGTCAAAGCTTGGAGAGCCCTTGAGACTTATATTTATTATTTTATTATTTATGAGACTTATATACAGCTTTAAGTGCAAGCACTCTCTAAGCGGTGTACACCAGTAAGCAATGTATATATATATATATTTACATTGCCCCCAACAATCTGGGTCCTCATTTGACCTACCCCGGAAGGATGGAAGGCTGAGTCAACCTTGAGCCGGTGAGATTTGAACTGCTGACCTGCTGAACACAGTCAGCTAAAGTGGCCTGCAGTACTGCACTCTAACTGCTGCGCCACCTCGGCTCATATATATATATATATATATATATATATGCCACTTCACAGGGCTTTACAGCTCTAAGTGGTTTATAGAGTCAGCCTGTGGCCCCCAACAATCTGGGTCTTCCTTTTACCGACCTCAGAAGGACGGAAGGCTGAGTCAACCTTGAGCTGGTCAGAATCGAACTCCTGGCCGTGGACAGAGTCAGCCTGCAATCCTGCATTCTCACTGCTGCGCCACCACAGCTCATCTATCATCTATGATGATAGATAGATAGATAGATAGACAAATAGATAGATAGGTAGATGATAGATAGATAGATAGGTGAATAGATAGACGATAGATAGAAGATACAGTAGATGATAGATGGATAGATAGATACATAGATAGAAGATAAATGAATAGATATAGATGAATAGATGGATGGATGGATGGATGGATGGAGATAGATAGATAGATAGATAGATAGATAGATAGATAGATAGATAGATAGATAGATAGTCACAGAGTGAGAGATGATAGATGATAGCACTAGCAATAGCCCTTAGACTTATATACCGCTTCATAGTGCTTTTAAAGTCCTCTCTAAGCACTTTACAGAGTCCGCATATTTGCCCCCAACAAACTAGGTCCTCCTTTTACCGACCTCAGAAGGACAGAAGGCTGAACAAACTTGGATCAAACTGCCGGCAGTGGGCAGAGTCAGCCTGCAATGCTGCATTCTCACCGATGCACCACCAGGGCTCTTTGCAGGCTTTCATTTGAGCAGAGGGTGTAGAAATGTGTGTGTGGGGGAGAGGGTTTGAACCCCCTGGAATGATTGAGGCTGGAACCAGCTGTCTTATATACTTGAACAGAGATGGGGAGCTGATGAGACTTAAAAGGACAGATGCTTCATCGCTTCACTAGGTCACAACCTCAGTGGGATGATCTGTCACATTACTCACTGGGACTGAAGATGTTACCTAGCTGGGTAACAAAAGGTCTGTAAGGAAACAGCCAAGCTCAGAGAGCACCAAGGACCCCACAGTCCTCCTCCTCCTCCTCCATCACCACCTCTTCCTCCTCCTCCCCTTCTTCTTCTCCTCCCCTTCTTCTTCTCCTCCTCCTCCTCTTCCTCCTCCTCCTCCTTCTCTTCCTCCTCCTCCTCCTCCTTTTCCTCCTCCTCCCCTTCTCCTCCTCTTCCCCCTCCTCCCTTCTTCCTCCTCTTCCTCTTCCTCCTCCCCTTCTTTTCCTCCTCCTCCTCCCTTTCTCCTTGTCCTTCTCCTCCTCCTCTTCCTCCTCTCCCCTTCTTCCTCCTTCTCCTCCTCCTCCCCTTCTTCTTCCTCCTCCTCCTCTTCTCCTATTCCTCTTCCTCCTCCTCCCCTTCTTCCTCCTTCTCCTCCTCCTTCTCCTCCTCCTCCTCTTCCTCCTCCTCCCCTTCTTCCTCCTTCTCCTCCTCCTCCCCTTCTTCCTCCTCCTCCTCCTCCTCCTCCTCTCCACAAACCCCACTCCCTTCCCACACTGATGATGTTACCTAGTTGGGTCATGAAACGGCTGCAAGAAAGCAACCAAGCCCAGAGGGAACCAAGGACCCCACAGTCCTCCTCCTCCTCCTCCTCCTCCCCCTTGCAAACCCTTCTTGCACTGATGATGTTACCTAGTTGGGTGATGAAACATCTGCAAGAAACCCACGGGGTCCAGGGAGCAGCGAGGACCCCACAATCCAACCCTGGGCTACCCATACCCTCTCCTATGGATGGACGGTCACTGGGCAGTCCTGGAGGAAGAGCGGTCTTCTCCTTGGAGCCTCCTGCCTGGGGGGGGGGGGGAATCCCGGCCAGCCTGCCTGAGCTGCGTCAGCTGATTAGAAGGGGCTTCATGTTTTCATCCTCCTGTTTATTTTACCATTCCGTTCCTGGGTGCCGCCTGGCACGTTCTACTCTCTCAACCATAGGAGTGGCGGAGGGTGAGGAGGGCCAGGTTGTTTCTGGGGTGATTAAGGTCAAGAGGCCCACGTTAAGGTTTCTTTCCCTTTTATTCCTTCTCACTTGGTGCCGTTGTGGAGATGAACTGCTAGCAGCCCCTCCTGTGGTTTCATTGCATTGCTTGTGTGGAATGCGAAAGGGAGAATGGGAGAGAGAGAGAAAGGGGAGGGAAGGGGGGGGGAAAGAGAGAGAGAAAGAAAGAGAGAAAGAAAAAAAGTGCAAGGAGGAGAGAGAAAGCAAGAAAGAGAGAAAGAAGAGAAAAAAAGAGAAAGAAAGAAGAAAGAAAGAAAAAAGAGGAAAAGAAAAGAGTGCAAGGAGGAGAGAGAGAGAGAAAGAAGAGAGAAAGAAAATATGAAAGAAGAAAGAAAGAAGAGAGGAGAGAAAAAGAAAGAGAGTGCAAGAAGGAGAGAGAGAGAAAGAAAGTGCAAGGAGAAGAAAGAAAGAGAAAGAAAAAGAGAAAGAAAAAAGAAAGAATGCAAGGAGAGAGAAAAAGAAAAAGAAAAAAAGAAAGAAGAGAAAGTAACAAAGAAGAATGAAGAGAGAGAAAAAGAAAATGCAAGGTGGAGAGAAAGAGAGAGAGAGAAAGAAAGAAAGAAAGAAAGAAAGAAAGAAAGAAAGAAAGAAAGAAAGAGAAAGAGGAAGGAGGGAGGGAGGGAGGAAGAAAGGGAGAGAAAGAAAAAAGAGAAAGAAAGAGAAAGAAAGAAGAAAAAAGAAAGGAGAGGAAAAGAAAGAAAAGAAAGTGCAAGGAGGAGAGAGAGAGAAAGAAAAGAGAGAAAGAAAGAAAGTATGAAAGAAGAAAGAAAGAAGAGAGGAGAGAAAAAGAAAGAAAGTGCAAGGAGGAGAGAGAAAGAAAGAGTGCAAGGAGGAGAAAGAAAGAGAAGGAAAAAAGAATGCAAGGAGAGAGAAAAAGAAAAAGAGAAAAAAGAAAGAGAAAGAGAAGAGAAAGTAAGTAAGAAAGAAGAAGAGAGAGAAAAAGAAAGTGCAAGGCGGAGAGAAAGAGAGAGAGAGAGAAAGAAAGAAGAGAAAGTAAGAAAGAAAGAACGAAGAAAGAAAAAGAAAGTGCAAGGCAGAGAGAGAAAGAAAGAAAGAAAGAAAGAAAGAAAGAAAGAAAGAAAGAAAGAAAGAAAGAAAGAAAGAGAAAGGAGGGACGGAGTGAGGAAGAAAGGGAGAGGAAGAAAGAGAAAGGGAGAGAGAAAGGGAGAGAGAGAGAAAGAAAGAAAGAAAGAAAGAAAGAAAGAAAGAAAGAAAGAAAGAAAGAAAGAAAGAAAGAAAGAACGAACGAACTGCATTTCTTGCACAGATCCACTTCGGCTGGGTTTCTGGCATTGTGATCTAACTGCTTCCCTACTAAATGGAGCATGCGTTGAAATGGCAGGAGCCAACCCCCCCACCCCCACCCCCTGTAAACAAACCTAGAGAAGGGGAAAAAATCCAGTTTTGAGGACCCCCCCCCAACTGCCAAAGGGGCTTGATGTCCAGGGGTGTCTCTGGGGCCAACCTTTTTGAAGGATAACTTGCGTCGTTTCATAAAGCAGATTTTAACCCTCTTTCTGGATCTATCTTGAGTTCCTCCTGGACGGAGACGGAGGTACCTCGCAACAAAGAAGGCCCTGCCTGCCCCCCCCCCAGTTCACCCCTGCTGAACTCCATCTTTTCCCAGTGAGATTGCACCCCTAAGATCTTCTCAGAGGCCAGAGTCCTCCCAGGTTGCTTCCCAACTGGTAGAGCACTCCCAAAACCACTGGACTTAGGACAGGGTGCCTGTTAAGCATTCCTGCATTGGAAACAGCTGGAGGCTGGCAGGGATTCAGCTGGAGATGTTTCCCCCAGGATAGAGATTTGAACAGTTTGGGAAGTCCGAGGCCAAAAGCGGAGGACCCTTCCCCACCCCAGAAGGAAAAGGAGCCAAACCCGGAATTCCAGCCCCTTTCCGCGACTGGGGCTCCTTTCCTTTCCTGTCGCGGAATTGCAACTGTTGGAGGGCAGCCCAGGTAGGGCAGGAAACGGGGGGGAGGCACGTTCCTGGAGACGCCGAGCTGCTGAAGGGAGCAGCCCCAGAAACCCCCTCCCACTTTCTCCATTCCCAGGAACATTCCCGACACCTGGCATTATCTAGGTTGGAAGTTCACCTGAACGTTCTTCAGATGTTGTGTTCCTCTTGCTTTCTTCTCTCACCCTCCTTTCTCGGCCTTAGCTCTGTCTGAATGCATTCACGGTGCCTTTTTATGACATCCTTACGACGTAGCCCACCCACCCACATCCCTGTAAGGCCAAAGAGGTCAAGTGTCCAAGGACTCTAGGGCGTCTCCAGGAAGCCTTCAACCAAGCCTCCCCATCTCCAGGAGTAGCCCCTCCAATCTGGAGGCCAACAACCCATCAGACCCCCCTCCCCACGGCCCAGAAAGCCAAGAGGTGAGGGGGTCGTGTGTAGCCACCCACCCCTCTGAAACCCCCTCCCATTGGTTCCTTTCTCCTTCCTTTGTCAGGCAAGGGGGACCCCTGGGGGACCCCCAGAAGAGCTGATCCAGGGCTACTTTCTGCAGCCCTTCTTGGTCAAGAAAGTTGTCCCCAGGTCCAAATTGGAAGATGCCAGCTGGGGCAAGAGAGCAGACCCAGGCCGTCAGAAGCCCCCTCCTCACACCCGGGTGAAGCTTCCCCTCTTACCTTGATCCTCTTCTCCTCCGTAGCTGCTCAACTTCCAGTTTTCTTCCTCTCTCTCTCTCTCTCTCTCTCTCTCTCTCTCTTTCTCTCTCGGCTCTTCCTCCAGATTGTCTCTCCTCCCACCCTTTATCCCGGCCCAGCCCAGCTCTTGGCTGCCTTTCAAGTCCCAACCCAGCTGCAGATGTGCAGAAGGGGGGGGGCTCTCCTGCCATCCGCTCCTCCTGGGGGGGGGGGCTGTAACTGAAACTCTCGCCTAGTCGGGCCAGGAGCAGCCATGCCTACCTTCCCCATCTCTAAGCGCTCCCCTGCCACCCTCCAGATACAGGGAGGTCCCCCAACACCCCCACCCCAGATTCCTGTGCAGGAATGTGCAAGATGCAGACGGCAACGTGTGGTGGGGGGAGGCCTGGAGAGGCACCCAGAGGAGGCTGTGCTAAAGCAATCAGAATGGAGCTGGAAGGGACGTTGGAGGTCATCTAGTCCAACCTCCTGCTCAAGCAAAAGGCCCTATATCGTTTCAGACAAATGGCTGTCTGGTCTCTTTTTAAAAATCTCCAGTAATGGAGCACCCACGACTTCTGGAGGCAGGTTGTTCCACTGGTTAATTGTTCTATTCTATTCCATTCCATTCCATATTGTCTATTCATATTCTGTTCTATTATTCTAAATTCTATTCTATTCTATTCTATTCTATTCTATTCTATTCTATTCTATTCTATTCTGTTCTATAATATCCATATTCTATTCTGTTCTGTTCTGTTCTGTTCTGTTCTATTCCATTCCATTCCATTCCATGTTTTCTATTCATATTCTGTTCTATTATTCTAAATTCTATTCTATTCTATTCTATTCTATCCATGTTCTATTCTATTCTATTCTAAATTCTATTCTATTCTATTCTATTCTATTCTATTCTATTCTATTCTATTCCATTCCATTCCATTCCTTCCTATTTGCACCATTGTCCGGCAAGCCCCAAATGCCATCGACCTGGGCCTAGGCTCCCTCTCCTGTACAGACCCCGGTCAGTCCGGGGGTTTCATTTATTTTGGCTTCTGCCCCAGGACTAATTTCGTGAAAGCCTTGCACAAGCAGCCTCCACCCTACCCTGCCCTGCCCGGGAAGGGCCGGCTGGCTTCCTGCCTCATAATAGCATGGATGTTTTTACCAGAGCTAGAATAAATAACTTGAAGTGGACCCGGGCATTGTTAACGTCGCCGGAGGGTGGGAGGTGTGGTCCTCTTTGGCCCTCTCAGACTTCCTCTGGCTCACCAGGGTCCCCGCCAGCTTTGCCCAGTCCCGATGGAGGGGTTTTTTTTTCCACGCTTCTTTCTTAATTCTAGAAGCAGCCTGGAACTCAGGAGAAGCTTCCTGACAGACAATTAATCAGGGGAACAGAAGTCGTGGGCGCTCCATCCCTGGAGGTTTCTAAGAAGAGACTGGACAGCCATTTGTCTGGAAGGGCGTAGGGTCTCCTGCTTGGACAGAGGGCTGGACTAGATGACCTCCGAGGTCCCTTCCGACTCTGCTATTCTATGATTCTCTTTCCCTGCCTGAGCAGGGGGTTGGACTAGATGACCTCTGAGATCCCGACTCTGCTATTCTATGATTCTCTAAGGGTTTCCCTGCCTGAGCAAGGGGTTGGACTAGAAGACCTCTGAAGTCCCTTCCAACTCTGCTATTCTATGATTCTCTAAGGGTTTCCCTGCCTGAGCAGAGGGTTGGACTAGATGACCTCCGAGGTCCCTTCCGACTCTGCTATTCTATGATTCTCTAAGGGTTTCCTGCCTGAGCAGGGGGTTGGACTAGATGACCTCCGAGGTCCCTTCCGACTCTGCTATTCTATGATTCTCTAAGGGTTTCCCTGCCTGAGCAGAGGGTTGGACTAGATGACCTCCGAGGTCCCTTCCGACTCTGCTATTCTATGGTTCTCTAAGGGTTTCCCTCCCTGAGCAGAGAGTTGGACTAGATGACCTCCGAGGTCCCTTCTGACTCTGCTATTCTATGATTCTCTAAGGGTTTCCTGCCTGAGCAGGGGGTTGGACTAGAAGACCTCCAAGGTCCCTTCCAGCTCTGCTATTCTGTATCAAGACTAAGGGAGACAGGATAGCAGTCTCCGAACATCTGAGGGGCTGCCCCAAAGAAGAATTGGGGGTCCACCTCTTCTCCAAAGCACCAGGAGGCAGGACAAAAAGCAACAACGGGTGGAAACTCATCAAGGAGAGAAGCAACCTGGAACTAAGGAGAAACTTCTTGACAGTCAGAACAATTAACCAGTGGAACAACCTGCCTCCAGAAGCAGTAAACGCTCCAACACTGGAAGTTTTTAAGAAGAGCCTGGACAGCCATTTGTCCGAAATGGTGTAGGGTTTCCTGCCTGAGCAGGGGGTTGGACTAGATGACCTCCAAGGTCCCTTCCAACTTTACTATTATTATTACCTCCAAGGTCCCCTCATTTTGTGATTCTGTTGTTCTGAATCTACCTATCCCTCCCCTCTCTATTTGGGGACTTCATTCTTGGCTGTCTGTTCGTTAGTCTCCCCTAAAAATATATAGTTTTTTTTTTCCCAGGATGAATTTAAGGGCCCTCCTGAATCAGATCCTGGCGGTGCCCCCCTCCCAGACACCCCCCCCAAAGAACTTTGCAAACAAGAGAAATGGGCAACAGGCGTTCTCACCTGCAGGGTCGCCCCCGGGGAGGTGGACGTGGGAGGGCTGCTGCATTTGCACATGGAACTCTTCCCGCTTCCTTCCCCCCCAAGGTTGTCTGGAGCATCTGGCCAGGCTTCCAGGCGAGTCTTCTTTCCAGCCAGAGTTTCCTCTTCCTCTCTCTAGACCCAACAGTTGGCCCCGGGACTTGGCCAGCCTGCCAGGGGTGTGTGTGGGGGGGGGAAATCCAGCCTGATCCAGCCCACGGAATTGGGGGGGGGGGCGGGGGGGAGAGAATGACATTCTAGGGAGTTGAAGAAAATGCAGGCAGTTGCTTCCTGAGGCTGGCCCTGTTTTCTTCCATGGCACACTGGGAGTGGAAAGAGGGAGGGAGGGAGGGAGGGAGGAATCAGGAGGGAGAGAGGAAGGAAGGAATAGCAACAAAGGGAGAGAAAGGGGGAGAGAGGGATGGAAAGGGAGGAAGGGAGGGAAGGAGGGAGGGAGGAAAAGGAGAAGGGAAGTTCCTTCCCTTCCCTTTCCCTTCCCCCTTCCTTTCCTTCCCCTTCCCCCTCCTTTCCCTTCCCTTCCCCCTTCCCCTTCCTTCCCTTCCCTTCCCTTCCCCTTCCCCCTCCCTTCCCTTTCTTTCCCCCTTCCTTTCCTTCCCTTCCTTCTCTTTCCTTCCCTTCCCTTCCTTTCCCACTTCCCACTTCCCCTTTCTTCCCTTTCCTTCCCTTCCCCTTCCCTTTCCTTCCCCCTTCCGTCCCTTCCCCTTCCCACTTCCACTTCCCCCTTACTTCCCTTCTCTTTCCTTCCCTTCCTTTCCTTCCCTTTCCTTTCCCCTTCCCCTTCCTTTCCTTCCCCTTCCTTCCCTTCCCTTCCTACTTCCCACTTCCCACTTCCCCCCTTTCCTTCCCTTTCCTTCCCTCTGTTTTGTCCCAAACAATAATTCTGCAAAGTGAAAACGAAGTGAAATTGCATATGTCCTTTCCATAGAGCAGGACTCAAAACTTCCTGTTTTTCCATCCTCCCTACTTTGCCCTCCTCTTTTTAAAAGGGGGGAGGGGGAGAATCAAGACCCCCCCCATACACACACACACATACACCCTAACAAGGTACAGGTGCTCTCAATTCACCAGGAGTCTTTGGCGCCTGGAAAATCTCATCCCGGACCTTCCATTAGCCTGACAGCCCTGCATGGGGGGGGGGGAACATGATGGGGGGGGGAGAGATCAGATTTCCACACATTTGGGCTGCCAGAGGCACATTTGGGGAACGGGCCAGGTGCTCTGCCTTTAGCTGCACAAAACTTTGCTTCTTTCTTCCAAATAGACCAGAGAAAAAAAAGGGGGGGGAGTTAGAAATTTAGTTCAGGGGTGTCCAGCCTTGGCAACTTTACGATCTGGGGACTTCCACTCCCAGAATTCAATCAATCAAAATAGAGCTGGAAGGGACCTTGGAGGTCTTCTAGTCCAACCCCCTGCTCAAGCAGGAGACCTTATACAGTTTGAGTCAGCTGGCTGTCCAGGCTCTTCTTAAAAACGTCCAATGTGGGAGCATTCACCGCTTCTGGAGGCAGGCTGTTCCACCGGTTAATTGTTCTCACTGTCGGGAAGTTTCTCCTTAGTTCCAGGTTGCTTCTCTCCTTGATGAGTTTCCATCCGTTGCTTCTTGTCCTGCCTTCGGGCGCTTTGGAGACTAGCCTGACTCCCTCTTCTTTGGGGCAGCCCCTGAGATATTGGAACATTGCTGTCATGTCCCCCCCTAGTCCTACTTGTCTCTAGATTGCCCGTTCCCAACTCCTGCAGCCGTTCTTTGTATGTTTTTGTCTCCAGACCTTTAATCATCTTAGTTGCTCTTATAATAATAATAGTAAAGTTGGAAGGGACCTTGGAGGTCATCTGGTCCAACCCCCTGCTCAGGCAGGAAACCCTATACCATTTCAGACAAATGGCCATCCAATCTCTTCTTAAAAACTTCCAGTGTTGGAGCATTCACCACTTCTGGAGGCAGGTGGTTCCACTGGTTAATTGTTCTCAATGTCAGGAAGTTTCTCCTTAGTTCTAGGTTGCTTCTCTCCTTGATGAGTTTCCATCCGTTGCTTCTTGTCCTGCCTTCAGGCGCTTTGGAGAAGAGCTTGACTCCCTCTTCTTTGGGGCAGCCCCTGAGATACTGGAAGACTGCTATCATGTCCCCCCTTGTCCTTCTCTTCATTAAACTAGGTATCCCCAATTCCAGCGACTGTTTCTTATATGTTTTAGCCTCCAGTCCCCTAATCATCTTTATTGCTCTTCTCTGTACTCTGTAGTTATTTACTGTAGTTTCGATTCTAGCATATAAATATTTAGTTTCAATTCTAGCATATAGTTATTTAGTTTCAGTTCTGGCATATAGATATTTAGTTTCAATTCTGGCATATAGATATTTAGTTTCAATTCTGGCATATAGATATTTA